GCAATTGCAGGGTACAGTGTTTTAACAATGATCAATTACAGTTTCCTTTCATATCAAATTCTAGCCCATGCCTATTGAAACTCTCAAATCTCTGATTCAGGTTGATATAGTGATTGTGCGCTGTTCAGGTGGGCTGAGTTCTCCAAAGTTCTCCAGTTAGTGTCTGTCTACATGTAAATGAAACATGAATATCAATATAGACTTAACTGGGATTTGCTGTTAGCGGGACACTAAGACAGCCTGTAGTGTTTTCATAATTCAGTGGCACTGCTTTGATTTGAGGGGTAGCTTTTACAGTACACAGATATTAATGCAAGAGCCAGTCCTTCAGTACCAAGATGATGCTAAAATCATCGTTAGTATGGGTAGTACAGACACACCTAAAACGTCCTTCTTAGGGATGGGCAACGATTAATCGCATCCAAAATAAAAGTATGTGTTTACATAATATATGCGTGTAGTGTGTATAATTACCCACACATGCATGTATATATTTAAGAAAAATGTGTTATTAATATATCAAATATTTATATATAATATTAATTATGTATAAAGTATATACATGCAAATATTTCTTAAATATATACATGCATGTGTGGGTAATTATACACAATACACGCATATATTATGTAAACACATACTTTTATTTTGGATGCGATTAATCGTTGCCCATCCTTACAATCTTTCTTCAGCTGTTTAAATTTGATCAATTGCTTATTCATTTATTAGACATTATGATTTTGCTTAATAAAATAATGCTTTCAAGGAATTTAGTCATTTTACAAAATAATTAAGACATTCGAATTGTGCTTTAGTACAGTTATGAATACATAACTGCAGTTCAATAGTGTGTGTTTTTGTTTTGCTGTTGTATTAAAATGAGAACAAAGAAGAGTGAGATTTCTCTGGCATCGGCGTTGACTGCTGACATTTTGGTATCGCGGTAACCCTAAATTCAACACAGTTGGCCAACTTGGATTTACTGTAATCTCCTCAAGTTTTAAACTTTGGCAGAGTCAATATCAAAGCCAGAGCTTCAAATATGAGTCATGTTGTCATCCCGCTCATACACTTGCTCAAGCACTAAAGCAGATTTGGCCCTTGTCTGGATAGTTTGGGTTTAATTCCTTCTGAACTGTGCCTGTATCAGGTATCAAGAAATCAAACTCCGTATTGGCTCTGATGACACACCTTCAGAGTGCCATTTGGGCTCTGGGCCTATCAGTTTCACAATCGAGGCTTTATTCCTCGGGACTATAACGGCTGAGGCTTTAAGTATGATTACAGAGGGATTGTCTTAAATAACCTCCGAGAGAAAAGGCACTGTGAGCTAAACCTCATGCTGGCAGAACACATTTAGCAAAGAGGAGAGCTGAGTTACGGGACTTACGGGAAGGACAGTTAAGCATCAGGTTTGAGTTTAAGGGAATACTTGGGATTATTTGAGGTAGCCATTGAGAGCCATGTAAGGAGTATCTTCATATTTGGTTACATAACCAGATACCGTTCACTTTACACACAATATAAGGCTGTCATTACGAAACCGGTTTCCTTTCCACGTCGTCCTCTGTTACTGTAATGCTGGATTGCATGTAAAGTTTACCAGTCACTTGCGGCCATGACTCGGCTCGGTGCATTTGAGCTGAGAACTGCACAAAGAGGAGAAGCTCAGTGCCATAGACAGAAAGTAAGCTGTGTGAGGCAAGATCTTGAGAAACGTTGCGCTCATACATGCTCTCTTAGAAAAAGAAGTGAAAGATAAATATTGTCACAGGCTTTCCTGGAAACCACTGGGGAGATTCCTACGGCCTGTCCGACGCGACCTGAAAAATCCCACTTCTTCGAGGAAAGTCATTAAGACTGGCTTATCAGTGTGTGTCAGCGTGCCGGGCCGTCGGAAACACAAGGAAAGGTGCTTTTGTGGGCCCTGCGTGGAAGAACTGATCCCATCGCGACACACTCCTGGCTGGTGGCTCATACGGGTGGACTGGGTTTGATTAGTAACTGGAATCTATTAGATTATTATTAGTGACATTAAAAATAATATGCTATTCATTATTCATATATGAATTCCTAATTAATTGGGCAATTAAGCCTTTATCTGTAGTGACAATACCCAATCTTATACACTCACAGTTACTTTAAAAGGACAAAAAAAACTCACATTTATGTCATTCTGTGACAAAGCTAATGATGACTAGAAACTAAACAAGACAATAAAAAACGAAACTTGACCGTGACAATATTTAAATATGAAATTGTATCATTACTTCTATTATGGTTAAAGTGTACTGCCGGCCTGGCGAACTAAAATAATTAACTTTAAATGTAATACTGAATAAAACATAACAGTAAACAATATAATAAAGTAGCTTACATGTGCTTCAGTATGTTAGTCAACACATTAAAACAAGTGTACTTTTGTAAAGCATGACACAAGATTATTAAAACAAAGACTTAATTTGACATTAATTGGACTTTTAAAAAGTTTACTTTACTGTGTTGAGAAACAACATTAATGGAAATGTACTTCTTTGAACTTGAAGTACACATTAGTGGCATTTTCATGAATATTAAATTATTGGCAAGTACATGTTTTATATGATTTAAGGTTTGAAGTGCACTACAAATGCACATTCAATTCAATTAAAGGAGTAGTTCACTTAAAAAAAAAACTTTTTTTTGCTGATAATTTACAAAGTTTTAGTTTTATAAGCTCAAATGCTCATCATGATCTGTTCTGTGATGCACGTTCATGACTCTCCTGTTCGAACTCGTTCATCAAAATGAACAAATCTTTTCCAAGTCATTTGGTTCATTCAACGAACGAAATGAACGAATTGACTCGGAAAAAGATGAAATGAACGAGTTCGAACAGGAGAGTCACACAGAATAGAGCAAGGCGAGCATTTGAGCTTATAAAACTTAAACTTTGTTATTTTTTTATTAAATGAGTGATCGTTTCGCTTGATAAGACCCTTATTCATCGTCTGGAATCGTTTAAAGCCCTTTGAACAGTTTGCAGTTTGTACTGAAAGTGTCTTTTGGACCTTGAACCGTTTGGTCCCCATTGAAGTCCATTATATGGAGAAAATCCTGGAATGTTTTCATCAAAAACCTTAATTTCTTTTCAACTGAAGAAAGATATTCAGATCTTGGATGACAATATTAAATAAAGGCTACAAAAAAATGTAACAATCCATGATAATGTGGTGCATCGTACTACTTAGCCTACATTTAATTTGTTGCATACTTTGGTCACATTTTAAATTACATAAACATCTGCCTGTGTAACCATACAAAAACTCATATTACATTATATTATAATATTAGTGTGAATGAAATTGTCAATTTTATCTAATTCCATGTCAATTAGTTACTAGAATGGTTTGAGACGGTGTGTGTTCGGTATCATCAGCCAACCCAGTGCTTCATGACATCATTTTTCTATGACTCCAGAGTTATTACTCACATACACTCAAAATAATAATAATAATAATAATAAAAAAATCAGATTTACATCACAACTATGTCTCTGCATATTTAAACATTTCTCAAACCCAAGAGCCACACAATAATATTCTTGTAGACTGTGTAGAGCATGGAAATGTCAACAATAAGAGATAGCTCAAAACCTGTGGTGACAATATCAAGAAATACAATGTGTTTGTAAGCTCCTGAAATGCTCTAGGTAGACATTTCTAGGTGATGATGTGTAATATCAGTTAAAATCTAAACAACCCTGGTTTCATTTTTCAGTATTTGCTCAATTTGTTATCATTTTATAATGTGCCTTTGGCTTATTCAGGCAGAGTATGGCTGGAAATGACAAAAAGGTGGACTATAATTAGGCCACATTAACATAAATCACATGAGCGATAGACTCGAGCGTCATTCCATCGACGCGACAAAACTACAACGCTCCTTTATAATCACAAAACGTAACGTTAGACAGACCGCTGTGTTTTCGAGATAAAATCTGAATTGGTAACAGTACACCTCGTCTAAAAAACGCAACGATAACGTCACAAAACGCGACGCCTTTTCACAGAGAACAACGATTCAAACTAGCGCGGTGTTTACCATCGAAGCTTTCGTCGCGTCGCGATTAGGACGCTCGATCGCCTCGAATTCTATCTAGTGCAATAAAGAAAAGCAGAACCAATCTATTTTCTTTAGGCTAATGCACTAATCTAATGCTGCCCCAGCCTACTGTCAGTGTAACAAAGGCGACGAACAAACGTTGCGATGGATCGCTAGATTGATAGGCTAATCGTCATTATGTGGCATTTCGCATCTTTCTAGGATTGACACGCACGCAATGACCCCCGTTTAACCCAATCCCGCATTCTGCGATTATGTAACATTATTGATGATTTCATCGCGCTCAGGACAATGCCGGGAATTCTGTGTGCTCCGATAGTTCAGTCCGGCGTTTTAGCGACAAAATACAAGGATTAACGCGTTGACCAGGCGCAAGCTATTATTGCATTTGGTTTAATCTGCATTTATACATTTAATGCTTCAAGTTCTCAGTGCTGAGAGTCTGGATTTCCTGATGACGCGATAAACTGCACTTGAAATCATAAGCGGTAAGAAAAAAAAGCGATGATGTCATTTTACATATAACGTTTACTCCCGCTAACAAAGAGCTTGCATGTTTAAAATGGCTATCAACAAGAGAAACACATGTCTGTAGTCTTACTGAACATGTTTAGTGACCCCCTTTTAACATATAGCCTACCCACCCTGTGCCTTGGCACCTCGATTGGTGTAGGCTATCCTACCTAATGAGCCCTCATGTGACTTCACTGCAAAGACATTAGAGTATAAATAATTGACGCACTGAACGTTTGCATTTGGCCTCATTGTATAATATCTGGCGAATAAAGCATATTTACAGACCGCATGGGGCACACTTGGGTTGTTCTGTTACTGTACCCTGCAGGACAGATCTGTGTTACTAACGTACACAATAAAGCAGAAAAAAAAACGTTTACCTGACAGCGTGGCCGTTCCCTCTCCATCTATTATTCCACGATGACTCGGTCAACCGGTTGCCTTGTAGCATTTAGGTCCGGAGAGGCAGGTCTGTTAGATGCTGGCACATGTCTTTCCTCTCGTCCAGGGCAGGCTGGCACAAGCAGAACTGCAATCTCGCGCAGAACACGCTGCTTCGATGAGCGCAAGCGCCGCGCGCCACGCTATCCCGCACGAGACCATTGAGCGCGGCCCCGCGCCACGCCCCCTTCAGTAAGCTGTCAGTGGCAGTGCACCCGCTCGCTTGACCCACTGCATGCTTTCACATTCACATCGTTGTCCATGCAGACCTACATGCAATTGTAGGTAATAATATACAAGCGCAAGTGGAATGTCCTGCTGAACTAACTTCACTTTTCTGAGCCAAACTGACCTTCAATGAATGACGTCAGTTCTCCTAAATTTCACTAGCAGAGCATTGAACACAAACATGCTGTACTGTAAAAATGAATATGCTTTATCTAATCAATAAAATTGTGGCAACAGATTACAAGCAATATTATTTATTAAATTGAACAAATTAGAATTGAGTAATAGTTAATCAAATTAATATTCTAATTTGTACAATTTAATTAATAATATTGCTTGTAATATGTTGCCACAAATTTATTGATTAGATAAAGCATATTATTTTTTTTCAGTGCACAATGCCTTTTTTTAGATTGAGCGATATGTGTTTGTTTGTTTTTTTCACAAGGATCATTTAAAATAAAACTGCTTACATCATGACATTCTGTTTATTTGCTGTCATTGGTTTGTGTTTGAGAATTATAATTCGGACAAAAAAAGACTTTTTGTATTTTAATGAGTTTTGTATCAGTAAATCCTACTGACGGGAGCTTCTGGAGGTCCAAGGCTAATTCTTATTTTCTCTAAAAAGTGGAAACACATAATAACAAAAGTCTTGTCCAGATCAAAAATCAAACGTGATTTAAAGCTAATAAAATAATATAACCCCCTTTAAACAATTCCAGACGATGAATAAGGGTCTTATCAAGCGAAATATTCGCTCATTTAATAAATAAATAACAAAGTTTAAGTTTTATAAGCACAAATGCTCGCCTTGCTCTGTTCTGTGATGCGCGTTCGTGACTCTCCTGTTCGAACTCGTTCATCAAAATGAACAAATCTTTTCCAAGTCACTTGGTTCATTCAACGAACGAAATGAACGAATTGACTCTGAAAAAGATGAGCAAATGAACGAGTTAGAACAGGAGAGTCACACACAGAGTCAATTCATTTGTTTTGTTCGTTGAATGGACCAAATTACACAAAAAAAGATTTGTTCATTTCGAACAGGAGAGTCACGAACGCGTGTCACAGAACAGAGCAAGGTGAACATTTGAGCTTATAAAACTTAAACTTTGTTATTTATTTATTAAATGAGCGATCGTTTCGCTTGATTCATCGTCTGGAATCTTTAAAGCCCTTTGAACAGTTTGCACTGAAACTCTCATTTGGACCGTTTGGTTCCCATTGAAGTCCATTATATGGAGAAAATGCTGGAATGTTTATCAAAAACTTTAATTTCTTTTCGACTGAGGAAAGAAAGACATGGACATCTTGGATGACATGGGGGTGAGTAAATCATCAGCAAAAGTTTTTTGAAAAGTGAACTACCCCTTTAAGTGTGAATCATTGATGACATAATTTTCATCTTGAAGTGAACTAATCCTTTAACCGTGTCATATTTCATGTGTAGAATCGTTTCACTGGGTTTGTTGTGTCCGGAGCAGAGAGGATGAGTGATGGACGTTGACGCAGACTTAAAAAAACACAGCATTTTTCATAATGAAAGCTTTTTTGTCTCTCCCCTGGTGCATTATCCCTCACTGCAGGTCCTAAAATGAGCTCCAATGGCCAACACAATCAGACACCATCAGGAGCAATTACTGTCGTTATGGAGCAGGTGTAAACCGTTGCTGTTTTTCCAGCGACATAACCATGGCAGCCTCCCTACACACCACACTCGAGTCTCCGCGGCAGGGCAGCTGAACCTTTAATTACCCCGACCGGCCGCTAACACACAGATTTAGGCAGTGCAATAGGGTCCCTAGCCAGTGCATCATCCTCTATTTGAGTCAGTCCCTTAAGAGGGAGTTTGATATTGTGAAAAGTCTGTTTTGGGTGCGACACGATAATGGCAGACACAGTCCCACTTTAGACTATGTTGTGGTGGTGTAGTTACTGGTTATATAACAGTTTTGCCTACTGCTTTCTGGAGTGTGTGTATGTGTGTGTGCTGACATAAAACCATCAGGAAGATAGACGGGGGAGATCCCCGCAGTGGGACAGCTGAAAGCAAGAGAGCACAATTAGTGAGGTGACGTCACCCTAAAGTGATGCGTCTCGTCACGTCACACAACCAAACTGAACACTTCAGGATCTCACTATTACATCACTAGCAAATTAGGGCTGTCAAACGATTAATCGCATCCAAAATAAAAGTTTGTGTTTACATAATGTATGTGTATAATTATTTTGTGTATATATAAATACACACACATGCATTTATATTTATGAAATATATACAATATTTCTATTTATATATAAATCTATTTACAGTATATACAAGAAAATATTTCTTAAATATATACAAGCATGTGTGTGTATTTCTGTATACAAAATAATTATACACAGAGCACACACATATATTATGTAAACACAAATTTTTATTTTGGATGCGATTAATCGTTTGACAACCCTAATATTTATGCAAACATGATCAAAAGTTTAGTTTTTTTTTAAATGTCAAGGTGTAGGCCTTGGATAGAGAATGTCACTACAATAGATGGTCTATAAATTTATTTTAAATTAGGGCTGTGCAAAAATAAAAAGTCTAAATAAAGTTTAAATAAAAAATGTATATATTTTTTATTTTTTATATTTTTTAAAAAATTTATAAATTTATATTTATATAAAATATTTATATATATACAAAATAATTATATACAGCACACACAAATATATTATGTAAACACACTTTTATTTTGGATGCGATTAAACAATTAATTTTTGCACAGCCCTATTTTAAATGTAAACTATTCACTATAAGAATCCACCCTTGATATGATAATGATATCCTAGTCAGTCAGTGTACTGTAAGTGTTTTGATTTTGCCTGTTTTGTCATTTGCTAGATGAAAATTGCAAGTCTGACTGAAAAATCATTTCAAAATATCTTGCATCTGTATTTGAAAAGTCTAGCTCTCTCCTTAAGCTGTTATTAAAACGAGTCCCCCAGTCATTTTTATTCCTTATTCAGATTTGATCAAATCCGTAACCCTAAACTGTGAGCAATAGTAATAAACACTCTCTTCAGGGAAGTCTACTTCTCTGAGAACAACACTTCCATCTAGAGGGAATAACTTGCTGTATCACAATCGCAGACTTTAAATAAATGGATTGATGAATCATAACTTCTTGTGTACATTTTCTTTAATAATCAGTTTTATAAGAATGAATAAAGTACAAAAACAGAACTAGAATCTCTTTTGGTCAGGAACATCATCATAAAGCTTCGAAAGTGTAAATGGATTCAGTTCTTTAGAAGAATGTATAAGGCGATCTTCATTTTCAACTGAACATTCATCTTTGATTTGATCAAACTTAGTGCAATTTATAACAAAATTGGACCCAAAACAGATATAAAGAACAATAAAATATCCAGAAATGGATGTCTAAAAAAAATATGTGAATTGAAGTATATATAAATTCTAAATATTTTTTTTAAAACAGAAAGAGTTAACCATAAAAGTGCCCAATTTAGTCATTACCAAGATCAAAGCATCATTTATGACAGGCTTTCTGAGTTTTGGTAAAGGTTTATGATTATGTAACAAAAATGTAAATGAAAAGTGTCCAGCGAAGGTTTACAAGTGTGCATAATTCAAGAGCTCAGAACATCGTAAGAAACTTCTGTAAAGTAGTGACCTCAGCATAAAGTATATTGCGTCTGGATAAGGCCACCTGTAGAATCGGATGTGCGTTTAGCTGAAGTCTCGGTCCGCCAGGATTACCGGAGCCACAAGAGTCCAGAGGTACAGTGCCAGTCCCAGCCAACTCGAACAGATCTTCACCCACACGGACGGCATCGTGGTTTTCATGGCTGTGTAGTCGGTTTCAGGCCTGAGAAGGAAAGAGAAGAAAAAAAATGTTTTTTTTTAAGGAATAATTAATCGCTCAATCCCCAATTTTTTCCACATTAACATATACACAGAACTCAACTCAAAAACGGCATAATGTAAAGTGGAACAATTGTTTTCCAAAAGTAACAAAAAAAAAAAAAAAAAAATTCTCCATACAAACTAATTACTGAGGATTGAAGACAAAATGAAAGGGAAAAATATACAATTGTGCTGTTTTAGGATATTCTAGACCAGGCATTTACAAATGGCGGACCGTGAGACATAACTGTAGCACCGTTTTACAGTTTCTACGGTTTAAAGTGAGCATCAAAACATCGGAGCGAAGTGCTCAGGTCGTTTATGGTAATGATCTTTCGGCACCATTTCCCCTCATATTTTTATTAGGGCTGTGCAAAAGTTAATTGCGATTAATCGCATCCAAAATAAAAGTCTGTTTTACATAATATATTTGTGTGTGCTGTATATAATTATTTTGTATATAAAAATACCTATGCATGCATGTATATATTTAAGAATTATTTGCGCTTAAATTCTGTATATATATATAAATACATAATCTATATTATATAAATATAAATATTTTATATATGAATAACACATTTTCTTAAACATATACATGCACGTGTGTGTATTTATATATACAAAATAATTATATACAGCACACACAAATATACTATGTAAACACAGACTTTTATTTTGGATGCGATTAATCGCAATTAACTTTTGCACAGCCCTAATTTTTATCTTTCTCTCTCCCGCTAAACTAAAGCACCACATTAAGAGCTGCAGATGATGTGGCTATTTTTACAACAGTAATAGATTGATACTTTTGTGAAAACAAAGCTGCAAATATAGTTTATATAACAAACCAGGATTGTGACTATTTAATTTTTTCCATCTACATTTAGCATCATTATTCAGCATGTTTATAACATTTCATAATAAACAATGTTATAATTGGGAAAAATATTTCTAGATGGCAAGGAAAGACAACTTAAACTTTGAAATTTGAAATGCATAGTGCAGCACGTTGCAAAAGGGGTTTTCCTGTTGCAAAAGCATGTGAAAGAAAACGACAAAGTTTGCTAGGCCAAAAAGGCTGTTAATCGCGTGATAAAAAAATTGACGCCGTTAAAATGGGTTTGCGTTAACGCTGTTAATAATGTGTTTAACTGACAGCCCTAAAAAATTATATATATATATATAAAGAGAGAGAGAGAGAGATATGTATTAGAGCCCGACCGATAAAGGATTTTGAAGGCCGATACCGAAACAAATATTTGTTGGTTTTAAAATCCGATATTCCGATATATCGGCCGATATTTTTTTATTTATTTCAGAAACACGCAACAAAACATTAACAGATTTCCCTAACATTAGTTATTTGTGGTTATTTTTGAGTTTTAACTAAAATAATATGATAATGCATTTCAAAAATTTTTTTTTTTTTTATTGTCAGAACAGAACAGACTGACGATAGTGGCATTAGCTAGCTTTATGGTTAGCTAGTCTATGATGGGCCAAAATTTACCATTAGATAACGTCATACTGCAAATTGTAAAACGTAAATTTTCAATATAACAGGCCAAGGAGGGATGATACGTCTCATTGCTATAACTGTCACACTGTCAATACTTCAGTCACATTATCAAAAGTTAAAAGGACAGTCCGTCAACTACACTGTAACAACGTAACGTAACTATCACTAGCTAATTCCGCTTCACTCTCGGCTTATTTAACAGCAAAACTGGACATGATAGTCCCAAATTTTGTCCTGCTTATTTGAGTTGAGAGAACTGATGGGGATGTTCTTTTAATTGTTATTCAAGCGATGTATGTATCGTGACCAACTCAACGAGTGTTGCCAACAGGAACGGTGTAGAGCGCCCTCTGGTGGACAAACTATACAACTCCAACACTCATGACATGGTTCAAGCGTGTTTCGTCCATTTTTATTTTATTTTTGAAATATTCATTTATCTTCCATTATAACTGCCGATACCGATAGTTTGGAAAATGCCTAATATCGGCCTGCTGATATATCGGCCTGGCTCTAATATGTACGTATATATAGATGTATAATTAGACCGGAGTCGGACCTCTTGGACGTATAACTGAACACCCCTGCTCTAGACACTCACTGATACCAGTTGGTCAAGGTCATCATGATGTAGAGGGAGGCGAGGAAGAGAGAGAAATGGAAAAACGAGTAGCTGTATGTGACGCTGTCCTCTTCGTTATCCACAGCTCGTCTCACGCCATCCTCAGAGACGCCCTCGCTGGCATCCGCGCTCGCCAGCCCCTGAACCTCCTCTGTCTGCATGAGCTTGTTCACCTGGCTGTTGTTTGAGGAACGAATGCTAGAAAAAGAGAAGAAAACATGTCAAATGTGGCTTAGTCAGACATTTCACACACAAAAAATTTAAAATAAAAATTAAATATTTTTGGCAGATATACTGATCATTTACGTTATACTGAATATGATTTGATGATAATCAATAGTGCCATTCAAAAGTTTGGGTCAGAAAGTAAAATGATGTTTGGACGATTTCGAAGTTTCCAATTTTCCAACGTGATTACGTAATGCATGAAGATGTGGATCCGTATCGCAGAGCTAGAGTAAGATAAGCATCTAAATGTTAAAAAGTACATTTGATCGCTAGATAAGGGCTGGGATTGGGACCTTCAACCCGTTGGTTCCCGTTTACATGGAGAAAAACCCTGGAATGTTAAAAACACAAAAATTTCTGACTCCAATTGTTTTTGTTTTTCTTAATTTTTGACTGAAGTAAGAAAGACATGAACATCTTAGATCAGACGGGTCAGAAAATTACCAGAACATTTTAATTCTGGATTTAAATAATCCTTTAATGACCCCAAACGTTAAGCAGGAATGTAAAATAAACAAATACCATAAATATAGCAATGATTTCATTACTAATGAGCATAAGGGCTTTAAAGGATTAGTTCACTTTAAAAAAAAAAACTTTTGCTGATAATTTACTCGCCCCCATGTCATCCAAGATGTGCACGTCTTTCTTTCTTCAGTCGAAAAGAAATTAAGGTTTTTGATTAAAACATTCCAGCATTTTTCTCCATATAATGGACTTCAATGGGAACCAAACGGTTCAAGGTCCAAATGAGAGTTTCAGTGCAAACTGTTCAAAAGGCTTTAAACGACACCAGACGATGAATAAGGGTCTTATCTAGGACCCTTCGAGTCATGATTCGAAAAAAGATTTGTTCATTTTAATGAACGAGTTCGAACAGGAGAGTCACGAACGCTCAACACAGAACAGAGCAAGGCGAGCATTTGAGCTTATAAAACTTAAACTCTGTTATTTATTTTTGAAATGAGCGCTCGTTTCGCTTGATAAGACCCTTATTCATCGTCTGGAATCGTTTAAAGCCCTTTGAAGCTGCACTAAAATTGTCTTTTGGACCTTGAACCGTTTGGTTCCCATTGAAGTCCATTATATGGTGAAAAATCCTGGAATGTTTTCATCAAAAACCTTCATTTCTGTTCGACTGAGGAAAGAAAGACATGGACATCTCGGATGACATGGGGGTGAGTAAATTATCAGCAAAAGTTTGTTTTTTTTAAAAGTGAATTACTCCTTTAAGATAAAGATGTTATGATTTATTTCTAATCCATTTTAAGCCATTTCAAAGCAATTTCTACAATACATTTATTTATTTGAATAAAATCAAACGGTTACAAAAAATATTGAAGTATTTTATATTAGATGTACTGCTCAAGCATCACTGGTTGTCATTTAACTAATGATATTAAATAGTCCTTGAGGGATGATGATAAATGAGCTCACCTGGCATACAGTGTGCACAGGAGGAAGATGACCAAACCCACAATGCTCTGAGCATCCCACCACTGTGTCTGGATACCGGGGGCACTGGTGGGAGTGGGTGCTGTGGGCCCGCCATTGACTAGACTCAACAGACTGGGGTTGCACTTACGATCTGTTCACAGAGAGAATAAGAGATGTGTCGTGCATGTTTATTTATGGGGAAACAACAACATCTGTTGTTCATTTTACACATGCTAACTTGGCTACAATTAGGGTTGGGTATCGTTTGAATTTGAACGATTCTGATTCCGATTCCGGTTCCTGACGATTCTTGATTCCGATTCTTTTAAGAGGCAGGGCCAAAAAATTTTGCTAACCTTGCTAACCAACGGTCTTTCTGATGGAAATACTCCTTCTGTCACAAATACTCCTTTAGTCACAAATTTTGCATTTTTCGAGATTTTGTTATTTTTAAAAAAGTGAAGCCACACTTTGGACCGCCGACATAAGCTACTCATGTTCGACTCGCGCGGTTATGCCAACACTTCCGGTAGACGCTTCTTCGTTGGTGTTGTTCAGCGGTTTCTTCTTCCGCTCGGCGGACTGTGAATATCGAAACTAGGAATCGAAATTTTAACTTTTGAACGATTCCGGGAAAAACGAAAAAGTTAGTCCCGATTCCAATCGATACTCGATACCCAACCCTAGCTATAATGCAATAATTCTGAGTAACTGAGTGTACTCGGTCACATTTGTGAGACTTACTGGGGTTGTTGCTCATAGCAGACCATGTGAGATACATGGTGTAGAGAGAGATGAGAGACGCCTGGAGCAGACCAGAACTCGGCTGAGATTCCTGGAACACATTTACAATGCAAATGTTCACATTTTGATTCCACACACTCCCACAAAACCCAGAACACCCCAAAGCAGAAGCGCTTTAGCCTTTTGAGCGCCGTCTTGGGGCTGCGTAAGAGTGATAAAGAGAGAAAAACAAGAAAACAAATGAGTGTGGGAATGACCTGCACTTTTGGAAGGATGGCCACCACAGACACAATGATACAGAAGATGAAGTTGAGGCTGATGAAGACTTTGTGTTCTGTGCAGTCATCTGGCTGCGTGTAGAAGACATAGAACAAAACCACAGCAGCGAAGGCACAGATATAGTGCACCACTGTGAAAGAGAGCAGGGCTGCGGAGAAAACACACATCTGTCAATATTCACATTTACGGGGTTCGTCATAGTTGGCTAAACTTCAATAGTGGTGAATGGAAACTACAACAAATATCATTTTTGCATTCTCATACCATTTCCATGACTTTACAAAAGAGCAAAAAATAAGTAGTGAGACTTATTACACTGGCTATAATAAAGAACGATGTCAAATTAGCCGTTATTGTTTTATAAACACTCATGTTGCAGCGTTAACTAGTTCTCTGTAATTTAATGCCAAAGTAATACAACATAAACTATAATGCTTTAACCCCTTAGCTGTAACCCCCCTTTTTGAGAATGGGGGTTAAAATGCACTATTCACACTTAAATGGTTGTAATTCAAGAATGCTTTGGAATATATAGCCAAGTTTGGTCTTGTTTTAAAGATTATCAGCAGTAAATCAAATACACTGTACTATATATTTTTTATTTTATATATAATATATATATTTTACAAAATATTTTTTGATTTTAAAATACTATAAAATCAAAGCCATAAATCTAACCAAGTTATGTTCCAAGTTTGAAGTTGATGTCACAAAAATTGAAGTTCCCGTGAGATTTTGTTTAGGCGTAGTACCAAAAATAGCCACCGGGTGCCATTGAATTCCAATTAATTTAGTTGTATACAATTAATACATTTCTGTCCAAATTTCACTTCTGTCACAAAATTTGGAACCTTGAGACTCAGACCTTTCTGACGATATGTGTTTTGTCAAGATTAGAAAAGGTTTTGATCATAAATCATGAAATATAATGATGCCCAAAAGGGGAGGAGCCTGATAAAATAAGTACCGTTTCTATGGTAACGCAATGTTTAATTATAAAACGGTTTTCACAGGACGAATTCTGAGTTTATAAGCTTTCAAATGATACCTAATTTATGATAACTACTAAACTATGTGATATAATAAAAAAGGCGATAAAAAATAACATTATATTTTAGAGGTTTATATATACACATATATAATAATAATTTTTAGAGAATAATATTATACTATAATTTTTTTATTGAAAAATACTAGATTATGTTTTATTATGAACTTTTAGCATAAAAACAGAAGTTTCAATGATTAAAAGTGGGTGCATCGACTTTTTGTGACAAAGGTCAGACCATTTTTTGAGGTGCACTCGTCTTGCACTCATAAATTCATCAATTACTCTTCCTACATAATTTGTAACACAAAACAGGGGAATATCTATTTAGAAGTCTTAGACCTTTCCAAAAATATATAATTTGTCATAATTAGATTAGGATTTAATAGAAATATAGTGAAGTAAAGTTATGCGTCCCGGTACCGGGACGGTGACAAACACATCAAATGAAAAATTAAAACAAACAACGTTCCGAGATTTACGATGTGAGTAACTGTGGAATTATAATCATTATAATCTGTGAAAAAACAAGTGCTTTTCAATGCTGCAGCTGGTCAGGGTAGAATAGCGTTTGCTTGTGACTCTATCGTGTCACATGCTTTCAGCTTTTACATTCATCAGCTTAGTCATGGGGAAACAATGTTGCTGTACACACCTGCAAACCAGCATTTACGGTTCCCTTCCTCTGCGTTCTCCACCCACTTTTGGTTCCAGGTGTGTGCAAAATCCACCAGCAGAATGAGCTGAATCAAAATGAAGACGAAGGACCCAACCACACCAAAGTAGTACCACACTGCAACGGACAACATTTGGGTTTTACATCCTTGAACTGGCATGACTTTACCAGCTGTCCATGCCACCTTCAAGTGAACTTTTATAGTGAACAATTTTTTAAAAATAAATTCTTTACAGCTAAGCATAAATACAAGACTTTTTAAAGGGTTTCATGTTTTTTTGAGCTATAACATATAACATGACACTTTTTATTGAAACCAAGTCAAAACAACTTCTTTTGGATTTTGTCACATTATAAAGTAAAAGTAAAACGCCCACTTCTATATTATTGCCTCTTTAGCTCCGCCCACCGATTCGCACATGGGAACTATGAGTACTGAAATAAACCTATGTAGCAGTGAATGACAATAAATAGTGATTTATTATGCACTTCTTATAACTTACTGTGTTTACTCAGCTCTTACGGTGATTTTATGAAGTAAAACTGATGTACAATAACTTTATTAAACTCATCAGTATATGTTTGATCATCATTCGGACCTGGTCCGAAACAGATACATAGAAGCAGATGACAAATACGTGATAATAACCGTAATTAAACTACTAAACTATACCTGTTCCATCTCTATACAGCACTCTGACTCTGTAGGCATTATTGTCCGACTGGAAATGAACACCGTTAATGAGAGTTTCTGATATTATCATCATGAGAGACTGAGGGAGCTCGTGAAGCCCCGCCCCCTGTGCCGGCAGCAGCAGCTCATTTGCATTTAAAGGGCACACACTAAAACTGTGCGTTTTTCTGAGCCCCCCGAAAAATGACAATTTAAACATGCTGTAAAAAATGATCTGTTGGGTATTTTGAGCTGAAACTTCACATTCACATTCTGGGGACATCAGAGACTTATTTTACATCTTGTGAAAAGGGGCATAATACGGGACCTTTAAAAACAGCAACCTTTTTTTTTTCCATGTAATAACTGAACAATAGTCTTTATTTTCTTATTTATCAGCTTACATACCTGTGTTGAATGCTCCATCTGGAATGAAGAAAGCTCCCACAGTAAGAGCGACCAGAATCAAGAACTTGAAGAACCAGAAACTGAAAAAAAAAAAAAGTCACATTGGCTTTTGAGTCATTATGGAAGGCTTCCTAGAAACCAGAAACTATTGTGCAAAAAGAAATTTCAACATATATATAAAAAACAGCTTTCAACTGTAGAGGGCAACACTTGTTAGTGAAAAGATTTGAGTTAGTAAGGATTTAATGAGAATGCCAGCTGGAACAGCAAACAGTAAAAATATACCCGTTTTGAATTGAAGCTCGTGGATCTTTGCTGCTTCTAACACGGATCATGATGATGGAGAAGAGGAAGAAGAAACAGGCCATAGCAAAGCACATCCTGTAGACCGACTTATAGCCAACGATGATCTCACAGTTCACCTTCCCTTCAATTCCTGGTATAGAAGAGCCTCCTTCACAAAAACCAGGAATCTGTCGATAAATTCACAATAAATAAATAAAACCTGCAGTTTTACAGTGATCAAAGAATGAATTTGAATCACATCCTGAACGTGTTTTTCACATCTTACAAACATACTGTGAAAAAAAATAATAATATCAAAAGTTAAAACATTTAACATAATGAATAATGTATAGCCTAACCCACAAAAATGCATTAAGTAATGCAAACAGAATGTGTCATGTCACAAGCTTGCTGTGTTTTCATCAAACTACTAAAGCATAGCACAAATAAAAGAAGAAAAATAAATAAAACATAATCTGAATTGAAAATATTATTAACTTTGATAAAATATAAATATAAAGATGTGGCCAAATTTAAATAAAAAGATGTGGTCAAATATTGAAATCGTCAAACATTGCCCTTTACTAAAAAACAATTTCTGACACTGGTCTATATGTTTTAATCGTTTTTGTTTTTATGACTGGAATGCAGAGACACAGGAAGTGGGATCATCAGGACAGATTCAAACTTGGATCCTCATGAGCACATCACCAGCTGTCTATGTACCTTCTTTAGCTGTGTCTCCATGCCTGGCAGGATCATGATGATGGACACTATAGTGCCCAGCAGAAGAAAAAAGGAGAAGGCCAGGCGGGTCACGGTGGAGTTGTATGTAGAAGGGCAACATCCTGATAAGAGACATGGCGCAGAGCCGCACAGACAGGACGCCTACAGGACAAGAACAATCACTCAACACAGCAAAAACACTCATTTCCCTGTCATACAAGGTGAGCAACCTACTATGTAAACTATATGAGTGGCTTGGGTCTGTATGTTAAACATTCAAATTAAACTGTATTGTAAAATGGAAATGTTAAGTCTTGAAAGGGAAAGTGTAAAATTAAATGGGGGCGAAAAACTCGTGAGGAAAGGCAGTCTTGTTTCGTTTTTGTAGACAAACGGGATAGTTTTATTTATTTATTTATTTTTTGACTAAAGAAAATGTACCAGTTTGGTATTTTAGCAACGTTTTAAAACGTCTTATTTTTAACACCTGAATAAAACATCTCCCAAAAGTTGTACGTTTAGTTTGGTCTAGTTTCCTTTTAGTAGTAAACAAACGTGATATGTACGTTTTTATGACTACCCTAGCCTTTAGTGACTACAGTTTGGTATTTTCACAACGTTTTTAAAACGTTTTATTTTGGTTACATGATTTATTCATTTTAAAACGTTTTACTACTACATTACCTAATTACAACCAAAATACAACGTTGTAAAAACGTTTTGTGTTTGCTGGGAACATGGTTTATAAAGTTTTGAGATAACATTAACAAATGGATATACAGTTACTTATTCATGTTCTCAAAACTTTATAGTTTAAAAACGTAAACAAGACAAGGAAACAGCCTTTGAATCTCCTATGAGAAGAAATGCGTCTCCTACACGAAATCCGTTGCTGTTTTTACCCAATTCGTAGAAGTTTGACAACATAAAATGAGAAAAAAAAACTAGGCAGAGCCATTTTAAAACAATATTTTGGACTTACGCAGCTCGCCAGCGAACACAAGGCCATACACGCACCCATGATGACGGAGAAAACACCACAAGACTAAAGCAAAAACACGGAAGTTAATCTTTCCTCCTCATTCTGGTGACTTAATAAATGACTCAAAAAGTGAGCAATGATTGGCTGGGAGACCAATCGGAAAACTATTGGGCCAATCAGACGACGGTACAGAAAAATCGCTGATTTAACAAACCAATCAGATGTAACTAAGGTTAGCAACTTGTGCGCTAGCGGTGCGTGGGTTTGCATTTTGTAACTCTCCATATTGCAATTTATAGAATTGCATTACATATTTATGTTTTGATTAAAGCAAACTATAAGATGAGTAAAAGTCTCTGTCTTACGATGCACTCTAGATGGCGCAAAATCCCATAAGATTGTGATGCAGAGGTTTTGTGATTACAATATATTGAAACTTTTTTGTAACAAACCTTCCAAATTCCCATTAGGGAAAATTTAAGCAAGATATCCCCCTTTAAACAGTGCATTTACGGTTAAATTGTTACATATACACATCATGTGCGTTTAGCACAGGTACATTAATTGATTAGCCTAGCCTTTTGCAATATTTAAAAGGCTATATTTAGACCACTTTTTAATAACTTAAACTTTTCTGACTATATAAAATGCATATGATATCACTGTACAATACTAAATTAAATATTATTCTAAGGAATTTAAATAGATTATGAATTTTGGTTGGATAGGATTCCACTCTTTTAACCTAGGCTATGATCAGCAATGTTGATGTAATAGATAACTCCATGAATTATAATAATTAGTAAACTAGTAATAGAAACACCAGTAACAAGCTGGCCTCCTGCCCAATTTGAGCCAAAATTTTAGTCTGCCCAAATTAGACCTCCAGCAGCACACCTTCTGTCAGATAACCCAGAAACACTCTCCAGAGCCAACATCATAACTTCAGATTAGACAACAACTCTTCAGCAGCCTTCGTTCGCGGTAGGATTTGTCGCCATCTTGTGGCCTTTACCGGGTACTACAGAACCACAGAATCATCAGAATCCGAATCAGAAAGAGCTTTATTGCCAAGTGTGCCTGCCTTGCACACACAAGGCATTTGTTTTGGTGCTGAGGCTTCCAGTGCACAAATACAACAAGAAACATAGTAATACAAATTATAATACAAAAAAATTTAAATATAACAAATATGAGAATCATCCGCTATTCTAATTCGTGCAAGCCATCGCAGTTCTCTTGAGCTGCAACAAATATTGTCTTCTAAATATTCACAAACTCCAATTGTGAAAAGATTTGCAATATGAAGAAAGCTCGTTGTGGAATTCTCCTCTTACCACACAGCAACTAATCGGCAACTTTAATCCTTTCATAACATGATACCATCCTATCCTATTGCTGAGGTGTAGTAAGCCCAAAATCCTTCATTATTTTTTCAGGTGAAGAATTGATTCAGGTCCTCATTCGGATTACAATCATTTACTTAAAATTCTTGCACAATCAAAGTAGCCCTCTAACCGTCCTCACTCTATAGCCCTTAATCCTGTAATTGTGGTCAAATGTGGGCACAGAGGACTCACGTGTGATCCTAATTTTTATTATTTCACTGTCTTCGATAAAGTTTTGTCTATCCATTTATGGTGTTTTTTATTATTATTATTATGGGGCTATTTCTGCATTTATTTATTTCTAAAGTACTATATTTTCTATGTAAATTTTGCTTATTTTTGTTTTATTTTTTAAAAATATCATTCCAATAAGTTCTTAGAGCTAAAACCTAAAGATGAAGTGACTTTGCCGTCACCTGGTGTCTTATTTTGGCTTATTTTAGAATGCTCCAAATTACAGTTTTCCCCATTTATTTCTATGGGTGCCCATTTTTGACCCAAATACAAGATTAAGGAGAGGTTTTTTTTTTTTTTTTTCCAAATGGATGTTTCCCTATGATGTTTCTTCGTTATAAAGTTAGCCATCTTGAAGGACATCTCAGTTTTGTAAGGCATTGATACCTGAAGTAACTCTGGTCTTTAGCGTTTGCTGATCATCTTTAAGTTGCATCCACCAGAGGGCAGTCAAGTCAGTTACCTGGAACAAAACTCACAACACAACCCATCAGAAGTAGAATGTCAATGTCAAAAACGCTAAAATAAATCTCATCGACAGTTTCTCTGATACATTTCTAAATATGAGTTGTAATTTAACTCTTGATGTACCAGTAACCCGAGCTCCCTCGGGAAATGCTGATCTTTCATGATTAATAGGCTACGGTTGTGAATTATCTTCATTCTGCACTGTAAAACAATATTGATGGTTTAACTTAAAAAAAAGTAAGTAACCTGGTTGCCTTCAAATTTTAAGTTGATTGAACTGGAAAAAGTGAGTTGATACAATGAAGGAGATTAATTTAACCAGAAACTCAAAATTATATGTTATCTGAACTAAATAAATTATTTTTAAGTTGATTTGACAAAAGAAAAAATGTTGTGATTACTACACTGGAAAAAATATTGTTGGTTTAACTTAAAAAAGTAAGTAACCTGGGTTACTTACTTTTCAAGTTGATTGAACTGGAAATAAATAAATTATTATAAATTTGATTTGACAAAAGAAAATATGTTGTGATAAGAAATCTTAAAAATATTTTTTACAGTGAGACCAACGCTCTCACATTTAACCCTTTGTAACCCAACCTGGCATTTTATCTTTGCTATTTTTTCACAATGTTGTCTAATCATGTATAATATTCAAGCATTAACATTTTCATTGGTTCCCTTAGGAGAAACTTTTATCAAAAGTGACTTTAGAGAAAAGTAGTACAGCAATCCTTGATTGAATCCTCAATTCAACACAAGGGAAAAAATGATACTCTCATGTTAGAGGAATATGTCTACAATCACATCCCAGTCGAGTTTGGTGTTTGTGTTTAAGAGACATTTCTAAACTTACAGAAAGTTTCAGAGAGAGCTGTCCGTGGTGCTGAACGGGTCGCCAGTTACCAATATTGATCTGCACACACAAACAAAATGTTTTCACTCAGCCTTATGCTAATACAAAAGTAGGAGGTGAAAATGACAGAGGAATGAGAAATGGTGAGAATGATACCAAAGAAAAGCCAACATTGAACTGTGTTGCTTCAGTTCTCTGGTTTCTGATGGTGAGTCAGAGGACGAGTCTCATTCTTCATTGTCATGATCACTGAAATCAGATCCTATAGATGTGAATGGCTGTTCACACTTGCTTCAGGTATTGATTGTCCACTGATTCCCTAAGGTCTTTGAGAAAGAACTTAACTGACATATTTCCCATTGGGATATGACCCTGATTTTCAATAGTGTGGCCCAAGCTTTCCATGCATATAATTGCAAACATCAGAAAAATGAATCGTTTTTTTTTTTTTTTTTTTTTTTTTTAAATATTGCTTGTGGTCTTTCTCAAATGTTCTAATAGGGTAATTAAAGAGTTCATTGTAATCATTCTTCATTTCTAATTTGATGAACACACTGCAGAGGATATTTAACCCTAAAACTGTAAATGTGGGCAAAATAGTTTTGATTTATTTTTAAAAAATACTTTCCTTAAGACTTGGCTACTTTTCCTAAGTTTGCCTCCTGAACACACACATTTTTTTTCTGACTCAATTCTACAATGTTCAGTGGGTGGACAAAAAAAAAAAACCCCTCCTAAATCTTGTATTTGGGTCAAAAATCGGCACCCATAGAAATGAATGGGAAAAACTGTAATTAAAATAAGCCAAAATAAGACACCAGGTGACGGCAAAGTCACTTCATCTTTAAGTTTTAACTTTAAAATTCTTATTTTGTTTAATGTAAGGACTTTTGCCAACATAATAGAATTACACACAATGCAATGTGCTTTGATTTCCGCTGCGAGCAATGTTTGTTTGTTTGTTTGTCTCTTCTTTTTAATGTTTCCTCGTGGTTGTCAGTATTTTTCCATAACGTTTAGGCGTATACACACAAACTGATTGAGCAAAAATGAATTTTGAGACTTAAAAATGTCATGCGACTGTTTTATATGCTTAAAAAATCCTTTAAAAAATGCACAGTAAGTGATTAGCAATCCGTGCAGAGCCAGAGATCCAGCTGCACGTTTGATTGACATTTAATAAGTGCGTCATGTGATCCACCAAGTCATATGCCAATTATGAAGAGAGTTCTACGATTGGTTCTGTTCGTAATGTTTCATTATGTTAACTAAAGCTTCGTGACTAACGCATGTAACAGGTGCTGCGCTGTTTCCGTCGACATGAGTCAGCAACCTGTGCTCTTGTTGAGAGTGCGTCAGGGAAGCTGATGAACGCCATCCAAGAATCTTGCATGAATATTTAATTGGAAAGTGGATGCTGCTTTAATTGTGTTTGTGGGTGACGGGACGCATGACAATCCAAATACAGTCATCAGAGCAGAGCCACAGCAGGAGACTCACTGACTCACTGATCCTCATTCATTCACACACGCTCGACCTGTGGTGAGCCTTCGAGGAGGAGGAGGAAGGCTTTTAGGTTTTCGCAAGGCTGGAGTCCAATCCACATTAGTAGATTAAACAACAGAGAGAAACTTAAAGATTTATATCTCTATCAAGATGCCCCCGGATCTGAATCACACAGGTGAGGAGAGCATTCTGAAATGACAAATCAATGAAATACTGTTGAAACAGGCATGTGTTTAATAATGATGACGAATGCAATACGCATATGAAATGTATGGAATGGAGCATACAGTTGTCATGTGGGCAGTTTGTCATGCTGTGATGATAAAAAAAAAAAATAAATCAAAGCTTTAACTGATATTAAATATATTTCCCGCCATGCTTGAAGGAATTATGCAGATGCGCGGAATTGTAAATTTGTGTGTGTGAAACACTTGACGCAATTCACATTCATTACGCGCTGGCGTCAGAGATCAATTAAACAGCATTTCCACACACACCTCAGTGTCTCATTGTTCTCTTTGGTGATCTCTGCTCGAGGTGTGTGAGAACAATAACACACTGCGAACATGCGCTTCATGAAACCACAACTTCAATATCAGCTACAGACACATTGATGACGAGTTTATTTAATATTTTCAGCCATTTGAATAAAAAGTGAAAAGTTGCAGAGACAACCTTGCAAGTAGGCTAGATGATTATTATTATTTTTTTATTAAATGAAATGCACTTAATCAAGTATTAATTTTGAAACATTCCGAAATACATGTATAGGTTAGATTAGATTAAGACGCACAAATATCCCTCACACACACACATTAATACCCTAACTAGGAGAAAACAACAGCGTAGTTTTGTTGAGATAATTCTCATAAATAACGCATTGGCCTGTTAAATATTAAAATAGGCTAAAACATAGGCTATTATTAAAAATATGTTTTCGACGAAGATCGATTGACAAATGCCTTATGCAACAAATCAATATTTTTATTTTTTATTTTTTTTATGAAGAAAGTGGTCAGGCTTTTATTGCTGTCTCAATGTCTATCCACTGTGGTGTGTGTGTGTGTGTGTGTGTGTGTGTGTGTGTCAGCACGCTGAGGGTCATTTCATGGGTTTAAGAGGGGAGGCCACTTCCTATTCCCCAAGCTGACTTGTTCTCACTCTGTGATTGGCTCATTGGCGAATTTGGACCCTATAGCTATACCGTTGCAGAAATGTGCAATTCATCAGCTCAAGTTGAGCATCACGTAGACTTGACCTAAAACTGAGGGAGATGAGATGCTGCAGTGACCCGTGTCCTTTATGATTCAGCCAGGATTTAACACTGACCACTGTTTTATGATATTTTTTCGTGGTGTGAACCAAGAAGAGGTTGAAGACATCCTGGAGACATGGCTGAAGGTGAGGTCGTGGGTGATCTTCCAGTGGGGGGTCAGAGTGGGATAAAGCAGAGGGGGTGGGACGGATCTTCTGCATTGTCTTTCAGATTTGGGGATCTTTACAAAGGGCTCTTCCCAGAAGCCCTGAAATGTCCGCGTAGTTACCGCGTAAAATGTATACCCCGAATCTTTTGTTTGTTCGTTTCTTTAAGTAGTATTATTTTGTCTGAGCTCGAGTTGTGAAATGTGGTGGAAAGTCTGAAGCTTTTCCAGAAGCTATACACGGGATTTGTTTGGAGATTGATGGGCGAGATGGGGGAAATGGGCTCGGTTTATGAGCAATATTACACAGGTGAGCTGGGATATATTTGTGCTTATGATTGATTGCGCATTGATGAATCAACTTTCAGCTGTTTTAGACTTGTGTAGACTATAATTTAATGATAAAAATAGTACTTTGCGGGAGATCAATTAAAAAAAATATTAATAATAATTCATAAGATTTATATTGCGCTTTTCTCGGCACTCAAAACGCTTTATATAGAAGGCAGGGGGGGATCACCTGGATGATGCAACGGCAGCCATATTGCGCCAGAACGCCCACCACACACACACACCAGTTTACCGGTTTAGAGGAGGCAGAGTGATGAAGACAATTGGTATTTATTTTTATAGCCTACGTTTGATAATCTTTTACAATAAGCCTATAGTTATGTGCCGAATACTGCTAAATCACTGGTGACGCATATGGAAAAAAGGCTACCTGTATACTCTAAAAAATGGTGGGTTGTTTTAACCCAACTTTGGGTAAAATATGGACTAACCCAGCCGTTGGGTTAAATTTTTACATTACATTTTTAACCCAACATTTCGGGTTTGTCCATATTTGACCCAAAATTGGGTTAAAACAACCCAGCATTTTTTAGAGTGTAGGCCTATTCAGGTTTCTCATGGCCTGACTACAATTCCCTAATTTGCATTTTTCAGATTTAGTAGGCCCAATGATTGTCACAATTCTCACTTGGGGAAAATTGAATGAATTATTGCGTTTTCAATTTCAATAACAAAATCTATAAAGAAGATTACCTGTTGAAGTAGGCAATTACTCTCATAACAAAGTAATGATATTTATTTAGGGTACGTTACAAACGTTGTTTGTATAGCTAGTGTAAAGTAATGTATTCAAAGGAGAAATTTATTTCATTCACTCGCGTTTCGCACGCAGATCATCAGATGTCGAAACGGCAGAGTTAAAGCTTAGCCTAATGATTTCTTTTGTTAGTTTATTTTTGTACACTTTCGATATCGAGATATTTGTGTTTGTAAAGTTAGTCTTGATTAGATAGTCTTGTTTGTGTGCTTTTATGAAGGGGGCTGTGCAAAGACAGAGGAGGAGGAAGCCGCGAGCTCTGAGGAAGACTCGGGCTCGTTCCGTGGCGCTGGGCTCTGCAAATGGTTTAACGTGCGGATGGGTTTCGGCTTCCTGTCCATGACCCATCGTGAGGACATCTGTCTGGACCCACCCGTGGATGTGTTCGTCCATCAGGTGAGAGCAAAGCAATCCTGCCGTTTTTATAAACCGGACCTGATAGCCTAAGGCCTTCGTCCATATCATCAAATAGCTTTATTTTCTCATGGCTTAAACGACAAAAACTCTGGTTACTATAATAGCCTACACTAAATATTTTCAGTAATAGAAATTTATAATGATCTTGCTCCATTTATAAAGCTTTAATTTAGTGTTTTGTGTTGATGCTCGAACATTAACGCCTAAATATTCGATAGGCTATCAAACATGCATTCTTAAAGATAAAGGTTATTCGTTCAGCAAAGGACACTCGTTTTATTAGCAACCTTTTTTCACTTTATAGTGTTTCTCTTCAGTTGGCTGTGTGGTGATTTAAGTCGTGTGTGGATAATGCGTTTTTAGTTATTTCACATATAGGACTTTAAAGCTCTTATTTTGGCTCCAAGTGGGACCTTTATTTTTTTACACATAGCCTAAAGATATTGTAGTTTTTATTTTGAGTGATTTACTTTATTTGGATATTTGGGATTTTTTTCACAGTTATGGTGGCATTTGGAGTTTTAGACTGATATGGTAATTGCTTTTTATGAGAATTGGAAGATCATGAAAGCACTATGGTTGTATTGAATTGCGTTTTAAAATGTGTCAAATTAGTAAACCATTCAAACTAATCAATATTGCAATTTTTTTTATAAAACATGTGCAAACTTTACCAGTGACACTTACATCTCTATTTACAATTTATATATTTTTGACTCAATTTAACTTGCACGCCTGTGCTTTACAATACTTCCAAGGATTGGCCCTGAAATATTTTGCAAAACAAAAGTGATTTAGTTTTCTAACAGGGACACAGGTTCATGTCCGGTCTGCAGCGTGTCTGTCTACTCATTAACTTTCCTTCATATCATCTTTTAAAAAATAACAAACAGCCCAAAAATGAAAACACATAGTGAATATCTTAAATCTTTAAATCTAAAAATCACTCATAGTGGTTCACAAAAAGTGCTATATTTAAAAAAAATCCAGTTGAGTTTACCAGTGTCTCCAGTCCTGGACACATACCTTCTCACTCAGCAATAATTTAACAAGCTATTGCCACAGAACAACCACCAAGTCGGCAAACAGTGGATCACCTATCGCCCCGAAACGAATGAGCTGCTGCCTCATGACTTGAGGTCATTGTGTAAAATTACCCAGAGATTAGAGCATCTTACGGGCAAGCAGCCCTACACACAGTGTCAAGTGATCTCTCTGTCTCTCTAAGTAAGAGGTCTTCTTTGGTTACCTCCAGACTGGCTGTCTGGGAGGCTAAACAGAGGGTGTTAGGGCTGAGCATACATCACCTGTAAGTTGGTTGACTGCAGAACTGAGATGGGAACAACCAAAGCTTAAAACAAAAACTGATAATTGTCATAATTTACCCTCATGTCATTCCAAACTTGTATGACTTTCAGTTTTTGTTACCTTTAACTTCCATTGTGTGGGGACAGTTCTAAAATAAAAAAAATAAAAAAATAAAAAAATCATACAGATTTTGAACAAAATGAGCGTGAATAAATACATTTTGGGTGAATTATGCCTTTTAAAAAATGTCCTGAAAGTATAAATGCATCAAGTTATGTTGATTTAAGTAAGTGATTTGAATGCAGGGAACATCAAAAACGTGTGTTGGATTAATATGATTTTATGCCTAACCCTAACACGCATTTGTACACTGTAAAAAAATATTTTCAATATTTATCACAACATACTTTCTTTTGTTAAATCAACTTTACAATAATTTATTTAGTTGAGATAACTTATTATTTTGAGTTTCTGATGGTTAAATTAATCTCCTTCATTGTATTAACTCACTTTTTCCAGTTCAATCAACTTAAAATTTTAAGGCAACCCAGGTTACTTACTTTTTTAAGTTAAACCAACAATATTTTTTTTTACATTGTAGTAATCACAACATTTTTTCTTTTGTCAAATCAACTTAAATTATTTAGTTCAGATAACATATAATTTTGAGTTTCTGATGATTAAATCATTCTCCTTCATTGTATTAACTCACTTTTTCCAGTTCAATCAACTTAAAATTTTAAGACAACCAGGTTACTTACTTTAAGTTAAACCAACAATATTTTTTACAGTGTACATGCAGTTTCAGTTGTCAACATCAAAAAATTGAGTACTTGAGTGGTTCACATTCATCTTACCTAATTTAACCTAGCAAACTACACATTTTAGAGAATAACATTAATTGGATGTAAATAATAAATGATGAGTAAATAAACAGATTGTTGAGATTCTCATGCACTGTAAAAAAAATGTTGTTGGTTTAACTTAAACTAAGTTCACTGAACTGGAAAAAGTGAGTTAATACAATGAAGGAGAATGATTTAATCATCGGAAACTCAAAATTATATGTTATCTGAACTAAATAAATGATTTAAGTTGATTTGACAAAAGAAAAAATGTTGTGATTTACTAATCATGAAAAGATTTTTTTACAGTGTGTAAACCTCACATCAATGTTTTGTGTATGTCTTCTCAAACCAGCCAAATGGGCATAGTTGTCGCTTTTTGCTTATTAAAAAAACAAAACAAAAAAAACAATAGCCACCAACGATAAATCGATGAATGCATACAACTCCTTAAAGCAATATTTCTCCCAAAATAAAAACAATCTGTCATAATTACTCATGCCATTATGTACAGTAAAGCGTAATTTCTTCTTCAGAACACAGAAAACAATTATACTATTAAAAATCTTTTAAATGTTTTTATTTATACAATGGAAGTCAGGTCTGTTTTCTATGGAAGAAAAAAGTCATAGATTGGAACAACATGAGGATGAGTAAAATGATCGGGGTCAACTGCCCCTTTAAGACCAATTCAATAATAGAGTAGGTGAACACCTCAGAGCAAATGCAGTGTGAATTTGACCTTGTTTGCTTAAAGATTTCCGGACATTGCCGGGTGCTTTTAACAGCTCTCAAACCTACCTGAGTCTCTTTCTGTGGATGGGAACTACAGGTTAAAAAAAGACAATGGCTGTCATTGTCAAACCTTCAGAAGGAAATCCTGCCTTCCCCAAATCTTTGAATCACTGAATAAATGGTGTTTGTGTGCGAGGATGACCAAAAAGAAGGGTCAGTGGGCAGAGATTTCATAATTAATGGTGAAAGACCTGCTGAAGAGAATGTGGGGAATGGAGACGAGAGATTGGAAGAAGGGGGGCAGGGAGAGAGTATTTGGGGGGGAGGGGGTCGTTAGCTAAATTCATTGATAAAAAACCCCTCAGTAGTAAAAGAGGAGGGTGAGTGAGTGGTAGAGAAGGTCAAAGAATAGAGCCGTGGATGGTTTCAGGAAGCTTTGACGGGGGTTGGGCCTGATTCCTTCTCCAGCGACCCCCTCCTGTGTAAAGACTGACATTATGTGAGAGCCAAAGCATGTAGACGTCTCACCTGGTGTAGTTAGCTCTATCGGGAATTACTACATTGAAATGGAAACAGAAAAAAAGTTATGAAAGTTTGAGTTTAAAAATGCTGCTGCGTTGTTTTAACCCAATTTTGGGTAAAATATGGACAAACCCAGCCATTGTGTTACATTTTTAAATAACAATTTTAACCCAATAGTTGGGTTTGTCCATATTTTACCCAAAATTGGGTTAAAACAACGCAGCATTTTTATATAGTATATATGCTATATAGATTTACTATATAGTATAAATCACCCGAAGAGGTCATAATTACATATAATTTTTTTAGATGGCATAAAATATATATTTAAAAATTTTATTAAATTATAATAATAATTTAATAAATATATGCTTAACTATATAATAATAATTTAATAAATTTATATTTAAATATATTTATATATTTTAGATTTATTAAATATATTTAATAAATATATATTTAACAATTGTATTAAATTATAATAATAATTTGGCAAGAGGAAGGGACTTGGCAATCTTTTTCGGTTCAGTCCGTCGAGGTCAGACGGACTGAAGTTTAGGAAAAAGTACAATGTAAAAAAAAATTATAATTCATATTTGATTTACAATATATATTTTCAAAACCTGGGCTACTCTAAAACTGCAGAAAAATCAAAGCCAAAAATCTGAACGAGTTGTTTAAAATTTTTGGTTGATATCTCAAAAAATGAGCTTTCTGTGAGATTTTGTTTGGGCGCAGTACTGAACGCTTTTGTCAAGAAATGACACAAAACAGCACATGCGTCAAGAAAACGAAGAACACAACAAATATGGACGTCAGACAGAAACTAGCGCTGCAAACTGTTAAAATGCAAAAAATTTAATTTAAAAATTTAAAATTTAAAAAATAAAATTCACCCGGTGACCTCAACTCATGCCGTGCTCTGATTGGCTTTAGCTCATGACATCACTGAGGTTGAGTCGCGCGACGGCTCTGCATATAGATATTTTTCTGGGCTCAGTGACGCGAGTCACTCAGTCGGCGAGCTCAGCGATTTGCAAATCGGGCTTAAAATCATTACTCATTTTCGCTTGCACAATACTATGTTGTGATCTCAATGCTTTTGTGTACGATTTGTATCGACGAATCACTTAGCAGGCTCCAATATGGCTTTTCTGACATCGTAAACTTGCTCGGTTGCTCAGTATTGAGACACAGATCATGCAACTTGATTAAGAGCTCAAAGACTTGTAGAATTAAGCTAAAATGGCAAATGCGTTTTATCTCTCTATTGCTATTAACACTATTGGTTGTGTTCAGTGTAAGTGGTGCGTTAATTACAAATGCGATTGAACATTAAACTTTTTGTGTCACTCACCGCCGGACATTTCATTTCCTGAACTGCCCCATTCATGCAGCTACTAATGCAATAAAAGGTTGCCTAAATAAACAAGATAAGCAGCCTGGTGTTTTGCTTTGAGAGAGAATGTGTGGAATTTATTACGGACCATTAAGAGATTAATGGGTTAAACACTGAAAGCATTATTTTAAAGGATGTCCTCGGGACACGATAAGCAGTTTTACTATAAGGATCGATTTTGAGGTACAGAACCACCAACTGTAAATACTTCAGTCCCACTTTATTAGGCAACTACTATGTTCCAATTATTTGATACAATGCACTTAGTGTACTTTTACATTGTAAAGGTATTTATTTATTTAATTACATCTCTAGTTATAATTTCACTGTTGATAACACCAAACCTGTCCCTAAGCTTACCCGTGTCCCATCTCAATAGCAGCAATACAACACACTCTCAGAAAAAAAAGGTACAAAAGCTGTCACTGGGGCTGTACCTTTTCAAAAGGTACACTTTTGTACCTTAAGGGTGCATATTGGTACTTTAATGGTATATTAGCACCTAAAATGAACATATGAAGAGTTCAGATGCAAAAGCCTCTAAATGCCATTTGAAATTTTCTTCTAAAATGACCATTTTTATCAAGCTTGTATATTTAAGTTCAGTGATTTCACTTAAATGGCAATGGTGATTACCTATTAATTGTTATTTAAGTGAAATTACTGAACTTAAATATACAAGCTTGATAAAAATGGTCATTTTAGAAGAAAATTTCAAATGGCATTTAGAGGCTTTTGCATCTGAACTCTTCATATCAACACTTAAAATGTACATATTAGCACCTAAAATGAACATAACACTTAAAATGTACATATTAGTACCTGAAATGTACATATTAGCACCTAAAATGAACATATCAACACTTAAAATGTACATATTAGTACCTGAAATGTACATATTAGCACCTAAAATTTACATATTAGCACAAAAAATGTACATATTAGTACCTAAAATGGACAAAAGTGTACCTTTTGAAAAGGTACAGCCCCAGTGACAGCTTTTGTACCTTTTTTTCTGAGAGTGCATGATGAACACAATACATTGCACTTATTTTTTATGTAAGTAGATAGTAGTTAAAGACACAAGTGTGATGAATTATTCTCTAAACACAATGGCTGTGGTCAACCTGATACCATGATCTCACACGTACACCAACTTGTCTGAAATTTGGTCTCCCAGTCGTTGTTTGTTAAGAGTACAAGCAAGACGGTTGTTGTTAAAGGTAGATCCTTTCTCAAGCCCCATTTCCATGCATCTGTAGAGCAAGTATCTCAGGAATGTGAGCTTCCCCCACCTTTTCCCACAGCAAACCCAGTGCTTGATGGCCAGGGTGAGATTTGACCAGATGGCGTTATTTTAGGGAAGCTCATCTGTCCATCACTTCATTAGCCGCACTTTCATTGCTTTTTCTTGAGAAACAAAAACGGTGCATATGTGATGTTCTGCTAAGATGCCACTGTGTGGTTAAATTTGAAATGAAAGCATGGATGTGTCTTTCGCTGGCTATGATATCTTCCAATATTCTGCATGGTTTGATCCTTCAGTTTCGGATGCAGCCATTGATCAGATGAGACGACCGTTTTGATCTGAGGTTGTTTGTGTCGGTCGGTGCTAGAGTCAAAGGGGATGTGCCAACATTGTTGGGGGCAGGAAAGAATTGCACAGCTCTATGAAAAAGGTTAATGGTGAAGTTAATGAACTATTCAATCTGGCTTAGTTTAACTTATTTTGTTGATGGCATGCTAAAAGTGGGAATTTTGCCAACACGTAGTATACAACAGAGAAGACTTGATCTTCCACTGCAGTGCGACAAATCAGAACTAATTATCGTGTTTATTATTTTTTTTAGCTTTTTATTTGACTGCACTTCCAAAAGTTAAAGAGGCTTTTAACACACAATTAACTTAATAATTAAGTAATCTTTTTTTTATTAGTATTGCCCAGAACTGGATGGCACTCGGATGCAACATGCAACAACAAAGTAATATACTACATTTGGATGATAAGTTTATATTTTGCAAATAATGCTATTTCCTGATTGCTTGTATATTTGCAAAATATAAACTTATCACGCGGATCTGTCCTGTGCAAAAAAGTGCTGCGTTGTTTTAACCCGATTTTGGGTAAAATATGGACAAACCTTTTTAAATGACAATTTTAACCCAATAGTTGGGTTTGTCCATATTTTACCCAAAATTGGGTTAAAACAACACAGAATTTTTTAGAGTGCGGGTGATTTATACTATATAGCAAATCTATATAGCATATATACAGAGTTCATAATTACATATAATTTTTTTAGATGCCATAAATTTTAACAATTGTCTTAAATTATAATAATAATATATTTAACTATATATTCTAATAATATAATTCTAATAATAATTTAATAAATTTATATTTAAATATATGTATTTATTTATTTATTAAATATATATTTAACAATTGTATTAAATTATAATAATAATTTGGCAAGAGGAAGGGATTTGGCAATCTTTTTCGGTTCAGTCCGTCGAGGTCAGACATCTGCAAGTGAAAACATGAAAACACTACAGAGAGCTTTATTGTATAGACAGAATAAATGTTTGATATCTTAATGGGTTTTTTTTTTTTTTTACCTTATTGGAATCAAAACTAAGAATTGAAATAGCTTAAATTCAATTGATACCCAACTCTAAAATCCATGTAAATAAATAAATAATATATGTTAACACAATTACCAACCCTTTTTAATTAAAACTTTTATAAATATTAAATTAATTGAAATGTATTTATTTATTAAAGCTACACTATGTGATTTTTAGCCCCATCTAGTGGTGAAAAGGTATATGATCATCCGGTGAATATTAGTTTCTGTTCCTCTCAATTCCGACTTCGTTTTAACTCCTACGGTGGCCAATGTAGTCCAAGATTAACATGGCTTCCAGTTCGACCTCGTCCATGAGTGTTAACTCAAACGTAAACGCTTGAATTAACGGGTATGTCCCTCTTTGGCTAATGTACTTTCAAGATGGAGGCGACCGACATTAGAACCCCTTGCCCGCATATTATACACTCACGAGAATACTTTATTACTTGAACGAAGTAAATATACATTAATGAGCACATATATTTTTGAAAGAACCAAGTGTTTTTAGCTAAGAATAAACTAAAAGAGTTACACAGTGCAGCTTTAAGAATTTGTTTTTAAAAAGTTTCATAATGTACATATGATCCAAGCATGTACAGCAGTGTTTCTCTTCTATCTGTGCAGAGCAAGCTCCATATGGAGGGCTTCCGCAGTCTGAAGGAAGGGGAAGCCGTGGAGTTCACCTTCAAAAGATCGTCTAAGGGTCTGGAGTCCTTATGGGTGACGGGGCCAGACGGGGCACAATGCATAGGCAGCGAGAAAAGACCCAAGGGTGCCCAGAAACGCCATTCAAAAGGAGATCGGTAAGTGCTGTCTGTTCTCTTCTACAACATTTTTACTCACACAATGTGATGAATGCTTCATGGAGTTCATGAATACAGAAGTCATCGATCTGATCGAGTCTTTCCACATTCATGTTTTTACCAGTCAGTCTTCTACGGTGGGCATAATCAATGCCAAGGTTGAACTCTCAACGATAGAATATAATATTTCACAAAATCAGTTGGTGTAATACATATATATATATATGTATTATAGAGAGCAGGGCACAACCTAACGCTTTTTGACTTTCTCGGTTTGTGTAAATCTACTTAGGGTTTAGAGTACTTATTTTTTTTCCTGCATTAATTTCCCACATGTCTTGTGCAATTATGTGGTTTTGTTTTATTAATACAGTGTATACTTTTTTCTTGATTTACCCTGAAAGAATGGGAGTGAGATGTGACAACATGCCCCATAGGTGGGGTACATTGTAACATCACCATATAACAGATTAAAATGCTATCTGATCTATTTAGAAAAATATACAAGTCAAACCAAAATATTTTCTTAATAAAATGCAATTATTAACTTTTTCATATAAAATAATGGCATTTTTTAATAATTAAAAATAAACTAATTTTTGAGTTTGACAACAAAAACATCAGAAAGCACAGCTATACAGCATGGTTCAAAACAAAATAATAATTAATAATTTTTGATCATTGACTCTCACTCTTTATTTCCATGTTTCTCTTGTTTTCTCAATAGAATTCATAATAGTATTGAATATAATAGCATATTTCTAATAGGGGCACATTGTAACACAGTGTGACAACATGCCCCAACTATCTATCTATCTATCTATCTATCTATCTATCTATCTATCTATCTATCTATCTATCTATCTATCTATCTATCTATCTATCTATCTATCTATCTATCTATCTATCTATCTATCACAAATAAATAAATAAAAAATAATATATATATATATATATATATATATGAAGAGTTCAGATGCAAAAGCCTCTAAGTGCCATTTGAAATTTTCTTCTTTAATGATGATTTTTATCAAGCTTGTATATTTAAGTTCAGTGATTTCACTTAAATAACAATTAATAGGTAATTATCATTGCCATTTAAGTGAAATCACTGAACTTAAATATACAAGCTTAATAAAAATGATCATTCTAGAAGAAAATTTCAAATGGCATTTAGAGGCTTTTGCATCTGAACTCTTCATATATATATTATTTTATGCATTTTTCTTGGACTTATTTCTTGATATTTTGGGGCAGAATGGTCATGCTCTTTCAGCTGTTAGGATGTTGGTTCTGCTTTTTTCAGATTTTTCTAAAGATTGTACTAAACTAACCTCACCCTTACTACCTACATACATATTTTATACACACACACACACATATATATCAGGATGTTGCTTTTCTGACACAGTATCTCAATGAGCACACCCGGTGCATTAGTGACTTGACCTGCTGAATCAATAGGTTGTTTAAAATTAAACACTCTAAAATAATGGATTGTTTTAACAAATATATGGGTCAAATATGGACAAACCCAAACGTTGTGTTAAAAATGTAAAAATAAAAATTTAACCCAATGGCTGACCCAAAGTTGGGTTAAAACAACCCAGCATTTTTAGAGAGTCTATCTAATCCCTGTGGTGGGTGGGCTGTGGATCTGAGCCCATGGAAGCGATTGCAGTTTTGGCAGTGTCATAAGCTCAGTTACGCAGCAGTCCTGCCATTTCTACCATAATCAAATCCAACATGACAATTTTCCGTTTAGGAACATGTACTTTCTCCTGCTGCTCCATCTCTCTCTCTGTCTGTCTGTCGCTCCTGATCCTGCCCTTTTAATTAATAACAGATGTAGGTGCCTGAGAAAGGTCAGAGGTGAATGCTGCCATAGCAACCCTGAGGTGTGATGTATGTGAACCGGGTGGGGGTGGGCAGGAGAGAGCAGGGATCAAAGTGCAAAGGTCATGCTGCATATTGAAACAAAGAGCCAAAGAGATGCCCAACCTCCTCCAAAGCTCAGCACCTTCCGCTGGCCAATCGATGCCTCCCCCTCGGCTCGGCCGCAGGGACACACAAACGCACAGGAAGTCTTCATTTAAATCCCAAAATGGAAACGGTTTTATTTTTAGGTGACAGCGACTGAAGGATTGTGTAAATCATCAATGGAACATTGCTCAAATCATCTATTTATTCATTATATTTCAAATATTATTATCATACAACAAAGCGTTATTTTAAAGTCCACTAAAACAGCTTCAGAAGACTTGAATCATGTAAACTTTTATTTGCTTGTTTTGTTTGTTTATATTTTGTGAATAAGTCATCATACTACACTAATTAATTTATTTATTTATGTGAAAAGTAAATAAGTTGGGAATACGTTATCATACTAAACTCACATTTATTTTTATTTACTTTAATATTTTTTTAGTAAACCATATGGAACTCAAATGAATTTGATTATTTATTTTTTTATTAAGTGGCTCGTAAATAATTTAAGCAATCATACTTAACTAAACTGTTTATTTATTATTAATGTGAATTGTAAATAAGTTGTGAAATAAGGCCTCATACTAAACTCAAATTGATTTACTTTTATATTTTAAGTCAACCATATTAAACTGAACCGAATTTTATTTTATTTATTTATTAAGTGACTGAATTAGTCATGAAAAAGTTAGCATATTTAACTGATATGTATTTAATTGTTTTGTTTAAGTGAGTCGTAAATAGGTTGAGTAAGTTCTAAACTTGATACTTCTATTTATTTCTTAATAAGTGACTCATAAACAACACTTGATTTTAATTAATTCTTCAATTAATTAAGTCACTTAAATAAGACGTAAGCTTTCACACTAATCTCAAATTTATTTACTGTATATATTAATTATATTCAAGTAAATCGTCAACAAGATATACTCAAGTTGTTTATTTATTTTTAACCATCATCATCATCATCATCATCATCATCATCAATCATAAAAAGAATAACCATAAGTAGTCATAATCTTTTTTTTGGGATCTCAGTTGTATTCATCCCCATTCATCTTTATTGTTCACTTAATATACATAATATGCTTTATCTAATCAATAAAATTGTGGCAACATATTACAAGCAATATTATTTATTAAATTGTACAAATTAGAATGTTAATTTGATTAACTATTACTCAATTCTAATTTGTTCAATTTAATAAATAATATTGCTTGTAATCTGTTGCCACAATTTTATTGATTAGATAAAGTATATTCATTTTTAGTGTATTTGTTTTAATTTCTGCTGAAGGGGTTAATAAATCAGTCTTGGACTCTATGGTGCTGTAGATGCACACTGTAAAAATGAATATGCTTTATCTAATCAATAAAATTGTGGCAACAGATTACAAGCAATATTATTTATTAAATTGAACAAATTAGAATTGAGTAATAGTTAATCAAATTAACATTCTAATTAATTCTAATTTGTACAATTTAATTAATAATATTGCTTGTAATATGTTGCCACAATTTTATTGATTAGATAAGCATATTATTTTTTTAGTGTACACAAAACACTAACATTCTCCCTTTCTAAATAAGACATCTTAATAAGACATATGAAACATATCGCAAACTAACATCTTGAACTTTAAGAAAGTTGTGCATACTCGTCATGCAGTTCAGTTCGGTTAAGCAACAAGATGTCTGCCTCATAATCATTAACGCTTCACACATTCTAAATACTAATTGGCTCTCTTATTGTTCCTTGTCTACCCTGAATTGTTTCACAGTGGCTCTTGATTTCAAACATGTGACCGCCCTCTAGTGGTCTTAATGCGAATAACACCTTTGTTTTCCCGCTCCGTTCACAGATGCTTCAACTGTGGAGGGCCAAATCATCATGCCAAAGAATGCCAGCTACCACCTCAGCCCAAAAAGTGCCATTTTTGCCAAAGCATCGCCCACATGGTGGCCAACTGTCCAATCAAAGCACAGCAGTTGTCACCAGGATCTCAGGGAAAATCCACAACCTCAACTGGAGAAGATGACGACATGAGCCACACCCCCTTACCTCCCGAGACCTCTGATTAGTGATCAGGGAAACACGAGCACCAATCAAAACATGCCAAGCTGCTTTTGGAACTAACTCAGGTTTTTCTTTTTCAAACAGCAGAAATGAATGTCAGTCAGATTAAATTAATATAGAAAGTTATACTGAGAAATACGATTATATCCATCTTTATATGATAACATATCCGTACCTCATCTTTATACCACAGAACTGATTTGGGATGAATTCCAGATCTTTTAGATGGATGATGATGATATGCATGAATTCAGAGGGCAAATCTCACAAAAACATCTTCAAGTTAGACACTTATTCTGAATTTTAGGACCATTACTATCTTTTATAAATAATGTTTCCTTGTCCTTTTCTAAAGTTAATCCATATTTATATGCTGCGATTGTATTTTTAAGTAATGCAAGTTGGTTGTGAAATTGCAAAAAAAAACACTAATCTTTAATTATATTTTGCTTGACTGATAATCCCATTTTTTTAGGGTAAAATGTCTTTTACAGAACTAATGTACTTGCCAGGTTTTGTGAGATCTGCCCTGAAAGTGTTTGAGACAAAGATTTTCATTTTCTGCCTTAGCTATAGCGAAGTGTCTTAGATTTGTCCTGAAACAATCAAAATGCATCATGTTGACAAATTGCAATAAGCCTGGATAGTATGCATATCTGTCTTTGTGCTGAACTTCAAATGATCACTTCACTGTAAACCCGAATAAATTCCCACAACTCAAAAAATTTGAGCCAATCGATTGCCTCAAATTTAAGTTGATTAACTTAAGTCACAATTTTCCAGAACTTAAAAGGTTGGATTACCTGCTACAAAGACAGATAGTATCTGTCTCTGTGCTTAAGTACAAATGATCTCTTGCTTTCTAATGACAAAATTGGCATTGTCATTGTCATGAATTTCCTCTTTTCCCCGCTCTGTTGTTGTCTGACCCTCTTTGTGATCTAATCCACAGGCCAAATGAATGTTAAAAGCTGCTTTCGCGCAGATCATACATCCGTCCGTCTGTAGTACAACTGTTATATGTGAATGACACAGTGACTTTCTTAGATTGTTTAGTTTAATGCTGTGTAATTGTAATGTAAGGCTTGCTCTCATTTAAAAAAAAAAAAAAATCTGAAATTCAACACTGTAATTAAAATATTGTTGGTTTAACTTAAAGGGATACTCCACTTTTTTTGGAAATAGGCTCATTTTACAACTCCCCCAGAGTTAAACAGTTGAGTTTTACCGTTTTCTAATGTATTCAGCTGATTTTCTGTCTGGTTCCTGATATTCTTCTAAAGTACATTAGACAACGGTAAAACTGTTTAACTCTCAGGGAGTTGTAAAATGAGCCTATTTCCAAAAAAAAAAAAAAAAGTGGAGTATCCCTTTAAAGTAACCTGGTTGCCTTAAAATTTTAAGTTGATTGAACTGGAAAAATTGAGTTAAAACAATAAATAATTTAAGTTGATTTGACAAAAGAAAAAATGTGATTACTAATTTTTTTATTTTCAAGATTTGTTATCACAACATTTTTTTCATTTGTCAAATCAACTTAAATCATTTATTTAGTTAAGATAACTTATTATTCTGAGTTTTTGATGATTAAATCATTCTCCTTTATTGTATTAACTCACTTTTTCCACTTCAATCAACTTAAAATTCGAAGGCAACCAGGTTACTTAATTTAAGTTAAACCAACAATATTTTTTACAGTCTATAAAATGTCCTAAAGGAAATTGACCATATTCCCAAATGCTACTTGAAAAGACAATAGCACATGTTTTAAAAGCGATAATCTAAAAGGTTTGTCAAAGCTTATTCCAAGAGGAGATCCTGACTTCCTTGATCTCACTTTTTTATTGTATATAATAACTCCATTTTTTCCCCCCTAACCATTGTTATTTATTTGTAGCAACAAACTGACCTCAAACTATGGGACTCGGTTTGCTCTCAGTCACAACAAGAGCTCAATTCTTTTGCTATTATTTCATAATAATGTTTTTAACTGCAGTTGCACCATTATTCGCAGGCATCATTTTGTGATGCACTCATCTTTCTTGTTTTTTAAAGCGATTCTTGTTTTGACAGGGAGCAACTGAGTTGTCAAGATTTACTGTTTGAGGAATGAAAGCATAATGAATTTTAGCCTTTTAGCCTATATTTGACATAATCTTCAAACTTTCAGAAACTCAGTGGAAAACAACAACAACTAAACACATACTACCATTTAATTAATAATGCTTATTGCGGCAAACTTTCAAGTCAAATAAACCGACTTAGGAAAAATCTTCAATTTTAAACCAGATGCAATGGGAATGGTCATTTAAAATAATCAGTGCATGCATTGAACTCATGGTGTGATGTCACAAGCACGTCTCTTTCGGTTTCTGTATTTAATTGCATGAAGTAGGTGTTAGAGTAGTTTAGGATTGGGTGGATGTGTCTTGCCTACAACGACATGTTCTAGGCAACGGGTTGTGAAGGTTTCTTTCTGATTGAATCTTAGTTCATGCCATTTATTGTATATTACATTATCATTTCAATATTTTTATTGTATTGTTTTTTTTTAACCTTTATTTAAAGTGAGAACAAGACGTAACTTGTTTCAAATCTATACAAATCTACCTCAGGGTGTGTTGAAATGTATTAAATGGACATTGTTACTGGAACATTGTCTATTTAAGTGTGTGTGTGTGTTTGCGTGTGTGCTCTTTAGTTTTATTTTTCTAATGTATTTAATTTTGGAGATGTGAGTTTCAGTCAAAAGTGTTTGAATGTTTGGTTCAGACCAATTCACAAGAGAACTGCAACTAATATTGCTCAAGTAAAATCTTTTTTTTTAGATTGTCAACTCAGGAATATGTGTTAATTATTTCTTGTTTGTTTCTAATGAAGAGGATAATCAATGTTGGTGACCTTGATTTTTTGATTGTTATCATGATTATAATTATTACTGATGCTCAGGGTTCAATCCTGCACAGATACGAAGCCCTATACATGTCTAGTTCTCGTTGCAGGTGGTAGACTGTGGTTAAGACTGTGTGTTTGCCGTGCTTTTGATAAAGACTAATATGTTTTTGTTCCAGTGACCAAAGAATGTAGCCACATTGAATATGGCAAACGAATAGCGTGGAGCTCGGTTTATGGAGAGATCCATGTTAATTGGTTTCAGAGAGAACTATTTTATTTTCAATTTATCTTGACAAAGCATGCAAAGAATGTTGTGCCCCAAAAAATGTGTTTTCAGTGTTGACAACTGCTTTCTAGTGAATAAATATCTTTTTAAGGTTATGCTGGTATTTTGTTACTTTCACAAGCGGTTTGATGGTGTTGGATTTCAAAATCTAAGTTTGCCCCCCCCCCCCATCCTTAATAAAACCTTTATTTGTCCTATATATTTTTTTTTTATCATAACATCATTTTGGTAATTTAGGCACAATATGCCATCTGTCCATTCTAGAATTTTATTTAAACTGTCCTTTTAAACTTTTTGAGCTGACAAAGACAAAATTGTCAAAATAAGAAACCCGTCATATTTTGCCAAAGCATGTACATCCAACGCACATGGCACCCTTAGAATCAGCGCCAAATAAGATGCAGATATATATGGGCCAGAAGGCGCCTCCTAGTGGTCTAACCGTAACCCTACCCCAGACCTAAACCTACGCTAAAGGGTGCCATGTGCATTGGATGTTTATGCTTTGGCAAAAGCGTCAGTATATGACGCCTTGGGATGAGAATGCGTTGAAATACAATGTTTACAGAGCAGATGTTTATTGTTCTTCACTCTCAGAAAAAAAGGTACGAAAGCCATCACTGGGGCTGTACCTTTTCAAAAGGTACACTTTTGTCCATTTTAGGAACTAATATGTACATTTTATGTGCTAATATGTAAATGTTTGGTGTTAATATGTACATTCTAGGTGCTAATATGTACATTTTATGTGCTAATATGTACATTTCCGGTGCTAATATGTACATTTCAGGTGCTAATATGTACATTTCCGGTGCTAATATGTACATTTCAGGTACTAATATGTACATTTTAAGTGTTAATATGTTCATTTTAGGTGCTAATATGTACATTTTAAGTGTTGATATGTACATTTTAAGTGTTAATATGTTCATTTTAGGTGCTAATATGTACATTTTAAGTGTTGATATGTTCATTTTAGGTGCTAATATGTACATTTCAGGTACTAATATGTACATTTTAAGTGTTGATTTGTACATTCTAGGTGCTAATATGTACATTTTAGGTGATAATATACATTTCCGGTGCTAATATGTACATTTCAGGTACTAATATGTACATTTTAAGTGTCGATATGTACATTTTAGGTGCTAATATACCATTAAGGTACCAATATGAACTCTTAAGGTACAAAAGTGTACCTTTTGAAAAGGTACAGCCCCAGTGACAGCTTTTGTACCTTTTTTTCTGAGAGTGTTGGAGATTTGTTCTTGAACTTAAAAGTTTACAATATTAATTTTTACTCAGCTTTCTATGGGGCGCTATTGTGTCACATGTTTTGAAGGGGGACAAAATCATATCACATTTCATTTTTCTGTCTTTAAAGGAGTTTTAGATAATATTTAGCCTATGTGTGCCAATAGTCATTTTTTTTTTAATGATCCATATGTTGCTGTCTGTAAAAGTTGTCTCGTGTTATCCCCCTTGTTTTTATTAGATAGTTTTAGACCATCATCGAAACATTCTGAACATTATATTTTAGAGAGAGAGGGCGGTGTTTCTCCCTTTCGCTACACTGCCCAAATTTATAAGACAGGCAATTGGGTGCGCGCATGAGAAATCTTCGACGCGGGCGCTACATTGAGCGCGAGTGCGCTCACGGGCACGCGCTCACGGACATACACAAAAAAGAGAAAGGGAGAGAGAGTCGAGGAGTGTGTGCGGCGGTCAAGCGCTTATAATGGCTGCCAGGAAAAGCAGAGCTGAGGAAAATCAGTTACATTGGGAATAAGGTCGTGCACAGGTAAATGTTTCTTGTGTTCGTGTGTGTGTGTGTAGTAGGACTCTTTGTCTGAGCATGTGTGTTGGGCTGCTACGCAGGTGCATGTGCTGCTATTGGAAGGGTTTTGCATTGAAATACACCTTTGCTGTTACTGTCACAGCATCATATTAGCACCGTGCATATGTTGTCTCGTGTGACGGGCAGCTGCGGTGTGTAATAACACGCTAGACCGCGAGATCCAGCTGGAGAGGAAAAAACAGCGGCGCTGTGGCCGAAACAGACAAAACCGACAGGCCTGTTACCAAGCACATGACTGCATTACAAACACAACAAACGATTGTATTCTCAAGATTTCTGCTCATGTGCTTCACTGTCCTCGGTCAAATCGTGCAACAGGGAGTGCGTTGGCTTTGCCCTTTGATCGCTGTTTCCTCATGTCAAACTGCTTCCGCACACACACGCGCGCACACGTGTTGGCAGCGCTGTCGAGTCTGTTTACCACACACTAATGGCGTGTTTTTTAAATGTTTCTGGTCACTTCGATACTGTTCGTGAATTCGATTTAGAGAAACTGACATGCTAAAGATAAAACGTGTTATGAGCGATGGCTTAATTTGTGGAACTTGTATGTATTTTTAACTAACAAAAAAACAACCCCAGCTTTATAGAGTTTTAGGATAGTTCACTGTGAAATTAATTTTTGATATGTTTTATCTTACCTCAAGGGCATCCAAGTTGTAGGTGTCTTTGTTTCCACAGTATTTTTAATGTTGACATTTTTCAACCCGTTGTTGTCTATCAGTCATACACTGGGGGTCCACCAAAGAGAAGTCCAAATTAAACATGATTTAATGACTCGTAAATGTAAGTAACGTTACACATTGATGGCCTAAGACACGAAACGAGCGGTTTGTGTGAGAAAACCAACAGTATTTATATCGTTTTTACCTCTTGTGATCAAAGCCATGACAAAATGATCTGACGGCACGGGCGCTTCGGTCTGCGCATGTGCTGGAAGTTATCGCTTGCGCGCCTACGTCACTCTTTGTTTATACAGAAGTTCTACCTGTCACTAAACATATTTAGAAATACGGGAAACCGCAATGGAAGACGATTTCGGTATATCTAAGTATGTTTAGTAAAAGGTAAAACTTCCGAAATCTCCGTGTAAATATTGAGTGAGGTCACGCAAGCGATCACTTCCGGCGTAACATTGAACTGATTCAGTTCGGTTCAGTTGGACATTGAACAACTGATTCAGATCACTTGGATTACACGAGGTAAAAAAACGATATAAATACTGTTCGTTTTATCACACAAACTGCTTGTTTCGTGTCTTAGGCCATCAATGTGTACAGGCTTACAGTACAGGGTTGGAACAAAATGAGGGTGAGTAGATTGACTGAATCTTCATTTTTGGGTGAACTAACCCTTTATCTCCCGCTCCACTGTCGAATTTTAGTAAATGTCAACAACACAGAAAAGAAAATTGCACTTACACATTGATACACATATCTGTATTTTGTTTTATTTGAGAACGAAATGGCAAGTCTCTCCAAACATTTTAAACTTATAATACTATGTTGATTTATTTACCTTGTTACCATTTCCTGGCAATAAACAGTTTTTCTGGCTTTGTAATCTAGAGAAACTGTCATGTGGCAAATAAGTTTTGGTTCTTTCAGCATGAGATAAAGCCAACTGTTGTATTATCTTAAAGAGCCAGACTATTGACGAATATTTCATTATGTAGCTTCTGGCCAAACACCACCCAATTAACAGTAAGAAGCTGACATCTGAGTCTTAATATCTTACAAAAGTTAGGTTTGTCATTATTAGCGGCTTTAGCGTCTCCATTCATGGTATATTGTATGTTGTGGCTTTCTTCCACACAACACAGGTGAGGAAGAGGAGGATGGTGAGCAGTCAAGCCAAGTACGAGCTGATCCAGGAGGTGGGCAGGGGCAGTTACGGTGTGGTATACGAGGCAGCTGTACGGCAGACCGGCGCTCGTGTGGCTGTGAAGAAGATTCGCTGTCACTCCCCGGAGAACGTCGAGCTGGCCTTGAGGGAATTCTGGGCCCTGAGCAGCATCCAGAGCCAGCATCCCAACGTCATCCACCTGGAGGAATGCGTTCTCCAGAGAGACGGCCTCGCCCAGAGAATGAGTCACGGCTCCAGCTCCTCGCTCTATCTGGAGGTGTGTTTCCGACCTGCAAATCAATTTTAGGTTCATATTGTTTGCTATAGTAAAATTGAAAAACTTGATAATGCAAACCAGTTCATTTATATATTTAGTGCTAACTATTCATCATACCCGGCATTGATGGTACTCAATAAATGGGAACGATTACTGAAATTTTGATTAGACGTAAATCATTTATTATCTGTGTATTGCTGCTCAGTGCCCACAGTATCCTCTCAGGAAACAGGAAGTGGCTAATTCAGCTGAGCTGACTGTAGTTTTTGGTTTATTAAAACCGTCATATGACGGCGGTGTTAGAACACTATGTAAACATAAAACAATGTCTGCATTTGTGATTTCACAAAACCATTTTCAACTGAAAACGGAAAACTTTGTTTACATGACAGTGGCGTTTTGGAGGACTGTAGACGTAAACTTTTGAAAACTGCTTTCAAAGTGCAAGTTTTTTTGAAAACTATATCATTATCTCTGTGAATTAGTGCATGATGTCATGTGCATGCATATCACATGTTAAGTCTATAGGCACATAAGTTTTTCTTTACGAAGTGACATCGCCAACTACTGGCCCAACGGGGATCGTTTTTACAATGTTGTCTGTATGCCTGTATTTGTTTAAATAAATCACAGCCTTTTAGTTTTGCTAATCAGTTTAAATTAAATCGCAATATTGATTTTATTGCGATGCCATGCAGGCCAATTTTCTATGCTATTTATTAGGGATGGGCAACAATTAATCGCATCCAAAATAAAAGTTTGTGTTTACATAATATATGTGTTTGTAGTGTGTGTGTATAAGTAATAATTTCTATATATAAATACCCACACATGCCTGTATATATTTAAGAAAAATGTGTTAATAATATATCAAATATTTATATATATTATTAATTGTGAATAAATATAAATAAAATATATACATGCACATATTTCTTAAATAAAAATGTGTTATTAATATATCAAATATTTCTATATAATATTAATTGTGAATAATTATATATATAAATATATACATTGCACATATTTCTTAAATATATACATGCATGTGTGGGTATTTATATATACAAATTAATTATACACACTACACACACATATATTATGTAAACACAAACTTTTATTTTGGATGCGATTAATCCCTACTATTTATGAAGCGTGGCTATAATTAATGCTTGCCTCATTTATCATTGATTTATTGTACTTGTACTATACTTTTTTTGGTGTGACTAATACATTACCCGTCATTCTTTTTTCCATTATTATACAAATGCATAAAGCATCAATTAATAACTTTAATACGCATCATTTGCTCTTCACTATGTTATTTTAGTGCTAAAATTCCTGTTTGTCAGTAATTGAAAATGAGAAAACGAAACATGAAGTTGCCCCTTGCATCTATTTTATTCTGAAAATCACACGTAATTACTACTCCTGTAAGCAGGAAGTTCCCTAGAGGACTTGAAGGAGCATATCCCCTGTATAATTTAGTGTTTGTGATAGACACTGGCCAGACATGTTTCTTAAGATATGGACCGTAAGCGGAGCAATTGACACATTCAACAAATAAATAGCATTTCATAGTCTTCACTAACAATGCTGTACAGATCTTACTGTTCTGGTAGTACAGCATGCTAAAAGCTGGTAAAAAAAAGTTGTCTCCATCCTGCAAAAAAAAAAGGCCACAAAACTACCTCCCAGAGGATTATTTTGATGATGAATAATATGCAAAAGGAGCAGGAATGCAAACTACTTGGACTACTCTACAAAGGAGACAGCACTCTATAACACAAGTGGATGATTATAGTATCGTATGCCATTTTGTGTTGGGTCAAGTTGCATAAAGACGTGAGGATGTTGTGTCTGGGTGGAAATAAGCCAGAGTGCAGCTCAGTAAGAGGTTGTTATTGCTAGCCTTTGAGATGTGGTTGATTAGCACTCTTGCTGCTATAATTGTGAGCCTGCAGAGAGCCGTTTGTCTGCTGACCTCTGTTTGCACATCTTCTGACGATGGGGAAACGTGGTTCAGATAGACACAGAAATCCACAAAAAGTACTTCGATTATCGATATTATCGGCCGATATTAGACATTTTCCAAACTATCGGTATCGGCTGTTATAATTGCCGTTGGCCGATAAATGAATATTTCAGTGCATTTGTTTAGACTTAAACATTAGTGAATCTTCAGTAAGTCTGCAGTTTGATTAATGATTCTGCTTAATGTTAACTGAATTTAGTGTTGTGCTTCTGTAAAACAGAGCTAAAGTTAAAACACAAATCCAATGTGGAGTTTATCAGGGGAAGGATGTGGTTGAATTTACTATCACATGACTTGCATGGACAGAGCTGCTGTTTTTGTTCTTCAGATTGAAGATGTTCTCTGATTGGTTCCTTGTTGCAGACAGGTTCATCGGTTGGTGCACTGTTTTGCAATGCCCTGCAAGATGAAGAAAACAGCTGCCAAAGCTGGTTGTGTAATTGATCATCCAGTCATTATGAAACTACTGTGATGTCACTCTTGTTAAATATCTAATACAGCATATTTTTCTCGTTTTTGTGCAAGATGATGCATTATCTATGCAGATAAGTTATGAATAAACTTTCACTTTTAACTTCAGTACTGCAAAGGAATGTTATCGAATTTAAATATGATTAATGTGCTGTTTTTGTGCTTATCCTACATCCCATTCACTTGCAGTTTTTATCTTCCTCCGAAAAATCTAAAATATTTTTTTACAAAGATGCGATAATGTTGGATTGAAAATGATGTGCATGGACAGGACACTAATAAACATGTACTTTTAGTCAAATTAATTATTTCCACGTTCTAAAATGACCTCTTTAGTAACTGTTGGCAAAGACAAAGCGCAGTAAATGATTCTCTCTGTTGATAATTATACACTTGTGTGATAAACGCTAGCATTGCATAGCATAAATTGTCCTCCACTACTTGACAGGAGGCTGTCAAACATTAATAAAATAAATTTTTTTTTTTTTTCATACATCAACTTCAACACCAACATGATTCGGGTTGGAAGAAATATATTCTACATCTAAATTTGGATGGGACACGTCATTAGCATAACAACATGCTAGCATCAAACTCAATAGCAGCTCATTAAGTTTTGGATCAGAGCTTTTGTCTCTGTTGAAGTGTTTGTGTTTTGATGGATGTTGATGGATGGGATTTATATTCACTGTTGGAAAGCGAGTTGTTATTTAGCTTAAGATTTCATCCATGAAGTTTGGCTTCTTTGGCTCTAGTTTTATCCTACTAAACTTTGCCTTCAAGCAGACAATACTAGAACATGATGACTGGAAGTTTGATTAAGAAAAACAAAAAAACCTTATTCAACAACTTTTTTTTTTTTAAAGACATGAATGATTCCTCAAATCATGCGGCTAATTGTTGAGAGGTGTGCTATTACTTTTCTAATCAATTGAACTTATGATTTTCCCTTGGTGACAATAACAGGTGTGATCCTAATTTTTGTTTATTATAAATGTTATATCTCTGTCCTCAAAGTTTTGTCTATCTTTTTTTAAATTTGGGGATAGTTTTGAATTTATTTACTTCAAAAAGTGCCATATTTTCTATGTAAATTATGCTTATTTTTATGTTTTATTTTTTTAAATTGTTTTAACTACATTAAAATATCATTCCAATAAGTTCTTAGAGCTGAAACCTAAAGATGACGTGACTTTGCCGTCACCTGCTGTCTTATTTTGGCTTATTTTAGATTGCTCTAAATGACAGTTTTTCCCATTCATTTCTATGGGTGCCCATTTTTGACCCAAATACAAGATTAAGGAGTTTGTTTTTCACCCACTTAACATTGTAGAATTGAGTCAAAATAAAATTGAGTGTGTTCAGGAGGCAAACTTAGGAAAAGTAGCCAAGTCTTGCACCACTCAGATCAAGGGAAGTATTTTTTTTTTAAATAAATCAAAACTATTTTGCCAACATTTGTCCAGAATATATTTATTTTGTGAATTGAGCAACTATTCTGTACTATTATTATTTAATATTATTGACCATCAACCACACTACTTCATTGTCATTTAGTAGAACTGGCCGTTAAAAATTCAACCACAAGTGCCATTGGATTGCAAATATATACACAAAGTAAACCTTTACACCCTTCAACTCCAAAGAATTCTAAACTTAAAGGGTTAGTTCACCCAAAAATGAAAATTCTGTCAGTATTTACTCGCCCTCATGTTGTTCCAACCCCGTAAGACCTTCGTTCATCTTCGCAACACAAATTAAGATATTTAAGATATTAAGATCGCTCCATAGGCTTCTTGAGGGAACGACTCTCGCTGTCCTCGAAAAGTCATTAAAGACATCGTTAAAATAGTCCAAGTGACTACAGGGGCTCAATTTTTAAATCAAGCAACGATAACACTTTTTGTGCGCAAAAACAACAAAAATAGCGACTTTATTTCAACTATTCACTTCCTTCTCCATGAGCCTGTAGTCAGTTAACGTAGTGTGATTGCGTAAAGCTACGTCACACGTAGGCTCACTATTGGCCGGCGCTGGTCATGTGTGTGATGCGTGTGACGTACAATAACAGAAGCTTACGCTATTAAACTAGTAACCTGACTCGCGCACAGGGAGAAATAAACCAATAGTTGAAATAAAGTCGTTATTTTTGTTGTTTCTTGCGCACAAAAAGTGTTCTCGTCGTTTGATAAAGTTAAAATTGAGCCACTGTAGTCACTTGGACTATTTTAACGATGTCTTTAATGACTTTTCGAGTGTCATTCCCTCAAGAAGCCTGTGGACTAGTATGCAGGAGTGATCTTAATATCTTAAATATCTTAATTTGTGTTCTGAAGATGAACGAAGGTCTTACGGGGTTGGAACGACATGAGGGTGAGTAAATTTTTGGCTGAACTAACCCTTTAACAAGCTCATCCGCTTCTAGTTTACAGACAGGTGGGATAAACTGGGATACTAAAATCTGCAGAATAGAATTGAAGAGTCCCGTTTCACACAACTTTTGTATTTCTATTCATTCAGTTGGTGGAGACCTCCTTGAAAGGTGAGATCACGTTCGACCCCCGATGCGCCTACTACCTGTGGTTCGTCATGGACTTCTGCGACGGTGGAGACATGAACGCCTATCTACTGTCCCGCAAACCCAGCCGCAAGACCAACACCAGCTTCATGCTGCAACTGGGCAGCGCTCTGGCCTTCCTGCATCGCAACCAGATCATCCACCGAGACCTCAAACCGGACAACATCCTCATCTCGCAGGGCCGCACGCCGGCCGGATCCCCCGAACCCACCCTGAAGGTGGCCGACTTTGGCCTCAGCAAGGTCTGCTCCTGTTCGGGCCTGAACCCCGAGGAACCGGCCAGCGTCAACAAGTGTTTCTTGTCCACCGCTTGTGGAACGGACTTCTACATGGCCCCTGAGGTCTGGGAGGGCCACTACACCGCGAAGGCTGACATTTTTGCTTTGGGAGTGATCATATGGGCCATGGTGGAGCGGATAACGTTTGTGGACGTAGAGACTCAGAAGGAGCTTTTAGGGAGCTACGTCCAGCAGGGGGAGGACATCGTTCCCCTCGGGGAGGCTCTGCTGGAGAACCCCAAGATGGAGCTCTTGATCCCGGCCCGGAAGAAAAGCATGAACGCTGGCATGAAGCAGCTGATTCGGGAGATGCTGTCGGCCAATCCGCAGGAGCGACCCGACGCGGTTGAACTGGAGCTCAGGCTGGTTCGGATCGCATGCAGGGAGCTCGATTGGGATACGTGAAAGGAAAGCGTCTCGGACGTGGGGTAAACATGCTCTGAGCTTGGTGAACGTAAACACATGTTGTTTGGCCCTGTCCCAAATGGCACGCTGGGTGTTGTGGTCTACGCTCTGAAGTGTCCAGGGTGATACTCTAGGGTTTCCCAGTTGTCAATTCAGATTGTTGGTCCCAGATGTTGGTTAGCTCACAATGTTGTAGACGATTACCTGACATTATCCATGCTGCACAGAAATATCGGGCAGGGTGAGAGTGCCGTTTGGGACAGGATTGAGTCTTTAGGGGGCGATTGCACTGCTGGGCCTCCAGTACAACATTCATTGATGGAAAAACAGCCTTTACAATGTTCAATACTTATTACTGACTCATGTTCACAAGCACATTGGGACTTAGTCTTGATGGGTTTCATTAATGGAAAAACATCATAGATAAACACAGAATTCCCTGAACATTCCCAGGACTAAAACACCAGATTATGGCTGGGCGATATAAATTAGTTAAATATTTTGGCTTGATGAAATATTCAGTATCTTCCTTTTGATGGTTTTTGGTTTGTATTTTCTTTGGAAGTGGTTTACTGACTTGGTCATAAAGGGATACTCCACTTTTTTTGGGAAATAGGCTCATTTTTACCACTCCCCCAGAGTTAAAAAAGTTGAGTTTTACCGTTTTTTTAAAATCCAGTCAGCCGATTTTCTGATATTTAGAAGAATATCATTAACCAGACAGTTTCTGGTCCCATTGACTTCCATAGTAGGAAAAAATTATACTGCATTTGAAAACGGTAAAACTCAACACTTTAACTCTGGGGGAGTGGTAAAATGAGCTTATTTCCATTAAAAAAAAAAGTAGAGTCTCACTTTAAGGAATCGTAGTTGGATTAAAATTATGTTTGCTTATTTTGTCACCAACACCAAAATAGTGAACATTCAGTTATCGTCCAGCCCTATTGTAGATTTAATATAGCACAGCAAAAATACTCATTACTACTGGTGCTAATTCAACTCTTAATGCAAAGCGGAAAACATGCAGCAAATAACGGCTTCTTTAACGGCCATCTTGATTTTTTTTTTAAGTCAATTTAGCAGTGTTTTTTTTTTCTGTAATTCGCAAACAAAGGGACTTCAGGGAGTTGTATTTGTATCTTTTCTACAAAAAACAAAAAAACAAAAAACTTAAAAGGCAATAGTTTCAAAAGTAGTCTATCAAAAGACAAATTATTCTGTAGTATTATTAATCATCCTGCTGGAAATTTGAATAATCAGTTTTAATGAAAAACAAAAACAACGAACATCGAGTTGATATGAATATATACAGAGTGGAAACTAAACGATTTAAGAAAGCTCTGTACTCTATGTGTGAAGGATCTATTTCAGAAGAGCAGATGTGAAGTGGTTCGACACAATTTCTTGAATTGAGGATCCCTGGACTGTGGATCAGATTTAAAAAGGGGAACGCTGGCACTTTCCACACACGGTTATTAATGGGAAAGAATAATGGTCAGTGAAAAACATTAAATCAGCTTTTTGGAGGTTTTATTATTTATTTTTGCAGTCTCTGAGAGTTTGAATTTGAGTGATGATCATTAAATAAACTTAATTGAATGCATTATAATAAATAAATAAAAATACACCAGCAAAAAAAAAGTTTCACCAGCAGGCTCTAGTTGTCTAGTTTATTGTGTTCAATAACAGGGCCGAATGGTTGACCTTGACGAATACGCTAAAATTTGTGTAAAAATAGCATGAGATTTACGTCACCACACCAAGTCAAACTTAAGAGGATGTTTTTGATTCTAATCCTACATTAAATGATTTCCAATTTCTTTAAAGTAACACCATTTGTACCCTATTTGTGGAAATACCACCTGCTCTTTCAGTCAGAATGGATATAATTACTCTAGATCTGAGGATTCGCTTAAAGGGATAGTTCACTTTGAAAATAATGTTTGGTATGTTTTATCTTACCTCAAGGGCATCCAAGATGTAGATGGAGTATTTTCAATTTTGACATTTTTCAGTCAAACCGTTGTTGTCTATCAGTCATACACTGGAGGCTAAGGGGGTCCACCAAAGAGCAGCACAGAGAAGTCCAAATTAAACATGATTTAATGACTCGTAAATGTAAGTACACATTGATGGCCTAAGACACGAAACGAGCGGTTTGTGTGAGAAAACCAACAGTATTTATATCGTTTTACCTCGTGTAATCACAGTGATCTGAATCAGTTGTTCAATGTCCAACTGAACCGAACTGAATCAGTTCAATGTTACGCCGGAAGTGATCGCTCGCGTGTGACGTCACTCAATATTTACACGGAGATTTCGGAAGTTTTAACTTTTACTAAACATATTTAGATATACCGAAATCGTCTTACGTTGCGGTTTCCCGTATATCTAAATATGTTTAGTGAAAGGTAAAACTTCCCAAATCTCTGTATAAACAAAGAGTGACGTCGGCGCGCAAGCGATCACTTCTGCCGTTAGATCATTTTGTCATGGGGGTAAAAACAATATAAATACTGTTGGTTTTCTCACACAAACCGCTCGTTTCGTGTCTTAGGCCATCAATGTGTACTTACATGTACGAGTCATTAAATCATGTTTAATTTGGACTTCTCTGTGCTGCTCTTTGGTGGACCCCCTTAGCCTCCAGTGTATGACTGATAGACAACAACGGTTTGACTGAAAAATGTCAAAATTGAAAATACTCCATCTACATCTTGGATGCCCTTGAGGTAAGATAAAACATATCAAAAATTAATTTCAAAGTGAACTATCCCTTTAAGTAGAGATCCTTGATCAACAGTCTCGATTAAAAAAAAACAGAGAACCTCATGTATTCGCACGAGAGAGTTACGCATTACAACAACGCATGCAATTCCTCTCTCACCTTCAGGGAAATGCGTACAGGGAGTGTGAACGGATAAAAACGTTGATGCCAACACACACACACACACACACAACCATAAGCCTCTGTGAGTCGGGGATCTCACATCTTTGACGCATGATACCAGCGGGCTGAATTTGATCTCCACTTTACTGTGTCATTTCTGCCTGGATTCCCAGAGTGCCGAATCTTACCGGTAATCCCCTCCGCTACGCTCATGACAGACTAACGCTAAGCCTGTTACGTTTCCGAGGTATTACGCTAAGACGGCATTCTCTGGGACAGAAACTGCCATTCAGGTCAACATTTTGTACAATTTTACTGGCAATTCACACATGTCCTCTGTCCCTTTAAACACAACACATGTTTTTCCTCAGTGACCAAGTGTAGATCCATATTTTGTCCTTGTCAAAAGCGGCCATGATGTAAATGACAGAACCAGCTACATCATCCCTCTCAAAGTGTTTTCTTTTTCCTTTTGTGGAAGCTTCTCTTCCAACTGTGGTGTTACGCTATAATCCACATTATCACAAGAATAAAGGATAAAGGGATTATTTTCACAGAGCCGCTACTTCTTAATCACCCAAATATTGTTTAATATTCCTTTTTCTTGTAGATTAGCATAATTTATGCCTTATTTGTAAATCCTATTGCCCTTATGAGCACTTGATTCGGCCGTGTGATTCCTGGAGATCTTTTGAAGGACAGAGCGATGAGCCTGATGAGCACCTAGGCCTAGTTGTGTTGGTTTGAAACGAATCTTTGTCATGTTGAATTGAATCTTTATCATGTTGCTGTTTGTCAGTATCAATAAGAGTGATCAACTTGTCCAATGAAAGCGATGTGTTGTCAACTTAAAGGGATTGTTCACCCAAAAATGAAAAGTTGTTCCAAACCTGAATGAGTTTTTTTGTTGTTTTTTTTTTATTCTGTTGAACGCAAAAGAAGATATTTTAAACAATTTTGGTAACCAGACACTTATTGACTTCCATTGTAGGCAAATAATACTATGGAAGTCAATGGGTGCCGTCAACTGTCTGGTTAGCAACGCTCTTCATAATATCTTGGTTTGTGTTCAACAGAAGAACAACTTGTACAAGTAGGGTGAACTATCCCTTTAAACAAGAATTAAAGGAGCTGTAAAGCCGACATGCAGATGAATGTCACTGGAATGTAAACTCGTGGCCCGATAGGAACATTGTGGGAAAAGAGCAAAATAAATGTGTGGTGTTCTCTTATGCTATTTTCATGTGTCCCAAACCTGATTTGGATGAGTGTGAACAGCAGAAATCCCAATTTTCTTCCCTTTAATTATCTGAGCCACTTTTGTATTATTCATATATCGTTTTATTGACCTGTGTATGGTTCATCTTCTGGGAAAAAATACAATATTTTTTTTAATAAAAGCTTAGCCAGTTCTGTGCTCCATTGACAGCTACGCCACTTTAATACCTCAAATCTTTCACAAAGAGATATTAAACCCAAATAGCTACTATATCCAAATTGAGTGGTTAAACCCAAATTTCCAAGAGACACGATCCATTTATTTGATGATTGAATTCAGGCTTTTACCAACGTGCGGCATAACGTGAATAAATGCCTACATTTAAACTGTTCATCATATACAGTGATTGTGTTTCCTTGGAAAAATTGGACTACTCAATTCATTTGGATTAGTTTTACGGCCTATTTAACTTTTTGAAGCGGTCAGTGGATGGAGCGAAATCTCTCAGATTTCATTACACGAATCTTAATTTGTGTTTAGATTAACAAAAGAGTTTGGAACGACATGAGGGTGAGTAATTAATTAATTAACCCTTTTAAAATGTATTCATTTGACAAAATCTCAAATAATCGTGTGCCCTTAAATGCTGATTTCAGTTCTCTGAGCCATTTTTGTGACTTTTAAAATGACTTTTAATCAACTGGCAATTCAGGTGATTTTTTTTTAATGGGTATATTAACAAAGTTCTCCTATCCTAATCACAGCAACTGCTAGCATGTTTCACTAACGCTCGACTTTAAATGTGTTTCTGCACATTCATAAAGTCAGCCGACTTTCATTTATGGTTCAAAAGTTTGGGGCGTTAAGATTATCTTATTTGATCAAAAATTCTGTGAAAACAGTAATATTTTGAAATATTACAATTAAAAATAACTTTTCTGTTTTAATATTAATATGTAATTTATTCTATGAGACAGTAAGCTGCTTTGCTGCTCAAGAAACATTTCTTATCGATAATGAAATCAGTTGTTGATTAATGTTTATTAATGTCTCTCAGGATTTTTGATGGATAGAATATTTAACAGAACAACATTTTAAAAGTCTTTACTGTCACTAATGTTTAATAAAAAGGAAGAAAATCTTATGGACCCCAACTTTTGACCATAGTGGAATTTCATAAAAGAAAAGAATATGATGTTATAATCATAATGCCTGTTTTCCACACACAGGTCAATTTAAGATTAACGTGTGATATGGGACACATTTGGCAACAGCCCGATTGGATCAGAACTTTGATTTTGTGTGTTTTATCCTGCGGCGTGAACGGACTTGAAGACAATTAATCACCCCAAACGTGTTTCATGGATGTTACTTTAACCTGACATGAGTTTGTCTAATACAATATGACCCACAATAATTTTCACTTAAGTTTTTTTTCTCTCTCTCCTGTACATACTGTACATGAACGTCTTAGCCTGAAATGCACAGATAACTTCCTGATGGTTTTATGTGATTGAATGATTGGTGAGTTTATATTGTGGGCTGGGCTGTCCATCATTGGGTGTTACAAGTGATTTCATGCCCTTCTCTCTGTTTCTGGTTTTCTGTGCCGTTTCAGTGTGTCTATATGATCTGATATACTGATATATGAAGGGGTGAACGTCTTGTGTGTTAACTGGGAGCACAACTGTATTTAAATTTTGTAAAAAAAATAAAAAAAAATAAAAAATAAATAAAACTTGTTTCAAACAAGCACTACGAACTATTTCCCACAGTGCCCTGCTCACAAGCCTCCGACAGCCTGACCTGATTACGAACAACTACTGGGAACATGGTGGTGTTGCACTGTGACTTGAAAAGTGCTTTTATTTTCTTTCTTTTTTTTTTTTTCACAGACACTTTGTGTTCTTGTAAAGTATTTTGAGATAAAAAGAATTTCATGAGAGGGGATCTTCTAAGTGAATGTGTAATTTATTGTTGGGGTTGGCTTTATTAATAAAACTTTTACTTGAATCATGTTTTATTGAAGTATTTATTTATTGAGAAATGTGTTGGCCAAGATTAACGACCCGTTTATAAAGTGGACGGTCATTAGCTTTTTGCCAGCGAGTACTCACAGAAATTTACTATAGAAATTATATGTTCTAAAGCGTCTTTGGCATACAATATCACAGATAGCAGAAAATATAACAGAATATTAATATATAAATCATAATACGTGAAAAATTCTGGTAACACTTTAGGGTCAATTATCACTAGTTGTTTTTTAGCGCACATGCTATATAGGCTACATGTATATTACAAGGATATAATGCCTTATTCAGCACAACCAAATGACAAGAACACGAAAATACTCAATGTCGCCCTGCAGTAAAACAGTTAAGTCAATGATTACAATAAACTTCATTACACCATGTAAAGAAAACACACACCATAAGGTATCGAACGAACTACAAATCCCACAATCCTTAGCGACATCCTGTAATTACCCAGTATTCCCCGCGACTGTGCAAAATGGCGGTGAATGCAAGCACAAACACAGCTGCCTTTGACTGCCCGTCATGGTGAGATGAAAGACTAATTACATGATTATTGCAATTAAAACCAGTTGTTTGTGGAGCGGATGAGTAAATTTTGACTGCATAAATAAAAACAATGCAACTCATGATAATAGGCGCGGACAGTACCTCAATAAGTTACACAGCAGCATATCAAACCACTCAGCATGAATGACTATTAAAATATTTAAAATCTTTTATGTCTGATTTATGGTATATATAAATAAATTCAGGGATGTGATCTAGTGATGCATTGGCGGTTCCGGTGTTTAGTGTTGAATAAGTTCATAGGTCGCATCAAGCATTAATATTATATTAAATAATATAAATAATAATATTATATTAATATAACATCAAGCAAACTTTAATATTATAATATATTAAGATGTACAGTACATCAATCTTCCAAATAAATGGAGCATATGTAAGTTAAATGAAACTGTTAATATGAAAGTTCAAAGAGATTAGAGAATGAATGAATTTTGTCCCATTAATTGTTTATTAAACTAAATTTAACACCAGGGCAGGAAAACCTCCACCTGGACTCCATCTGGATGTGGTTAAAGGAGACAAATTAGTCGAGGTAAGTCTGAGTATTATGGAAATTATTATTATTGACGTGGTGGGCTTGTTTCCACATTATACATATGTATTCTGCTGATTTAGTACGTTTTGGAAAACAAGCGTCAAACACTTTTGAAAAAAAGTCAGGTGTTAAACTTCTGGTTAAAAGTTTAGTTCTTCCAAATATAAAAATTCTGTCATCATTTATTCTTTCGTGTTGTTTCAAAACTGTATATAACTCACTTTTCTTCTGTGAATCATGAAAGAAGACATTTTGAGAAAACTGTGTGGTTACCAACATGCTTCAAAATATCTTATTTTGTGTTCCACAGAAGAAAGTAAATAAATCTGGTTTGGAATGACAAGAAGGTGAGTAAATGATGACAGATTTTATATATACATTTTTGAAATTGGCAATCTGAACTTTTATTTGAAGATAAATGAAGGTCGACCCCATAATTTTGTGTCAAACCCATTTGAATATTGTTGGTGTCTTAATAACCCAGACTATACGTCCTTCTTGTCATCTGCAGAAGTTGATTATTGACGAGAAAAAGTTTTATCTGTTTGGGAGGAACCCAGACCAATGTGATTTTACGATAGACCACCAGTCATGCTCACGTGTCCATGCTGCGCTGGTCTACCACAGACACCTGAAGAGGGTCTTTCTCATCGACCTTGGCAGCAGTGAGTGCAGAAGACACACATGCAACACATTATCAACAGAATTGTTTCGTTTTCATTGTATCTTGATTGATCCTTTTTAGCCCATGGCACATTTCTGGGCAGAATTCGCCTTGAGCCCAACAAACCTCAGCAGGTGCCCATCGACTCCACCATGTCGTTTGGGGCGTCCACGCGAGTTTACACCCTGAGAGAGAAGCCTCAGACACAGAGCAGCTCGACCGCTGGAGACAGTAAAGGAGTGGAGGACGAGGAGCTGAAGGGATTGCTGGGACTGCCAGAGGAAGAGACAGAGCTCGAGGTGTGTGTGTGTGTGTGTCAGCTGACCTCATGGTAAATGATGCTCTTTAGTGGTCAGACTGTTATTAGGTCTGTGTTCAGGTTTTCACTGGAACTGTGGCGCGATTCAAAACTCAGGCGCATATTTGTTAAAAAAAATAGTATTTTTAGGGCTGTCAAACGATTAAACGTGATTAATCGCATCCAAAATAAAAGTTTGTGTTCACATAATAAATGTGGGTGCACTGTGTGTAAATGCTTGCATATATTTAATATATTATTTAAAAATATATTATTTATTATTAAATATTTAAATATATTATTTATTATTTTTATTTTATATATGCATGCTTGTATATATTTAAGAAATATTTTCATGTATATAGATTTATATATAATTTATAAATTATATTATATATAAATAATATTTTTTTCTTAAATATACATGCATGTGTGTGTATTTATATATATATGAAGAGTTCAGATGCAAGTGCCATTTGAAATTTTATTATAAAATGATCATTTTTATCAAGCTTGTATATTTAAGTTCAGTAATTTCACTTAAATGGCAATGAAGATTACCTATTAATTGTCATTTAAGTGAAATTACTGAACTTAAATATTCAAGCTTGATAAAAATGGTCATTTTAGAAGAAAATTTCAAATGGCATTTAGAGGCTTTTGCATCTGAACTCTTCATATATATATATATATATATAATAATTATACACACAGCGCACCCACATGTATTATGTAAACACAAACTTTTATTTTGGATGTGATTAATTGTTTGACAGCCCTAGTTATTTTTCATATGCATATAATTACATATATCGCTTGTTTCTGCGTCTTCCTCGCACGTGTTTTGATCATGAGTACTCTTTCTGATGACGTGTAATAGCACCCCCTATATGTGACAGGGAAAACACAGAAAGCTGGAAAATTCCATCAATATCGGGAAAGAGTTATATATAGATTTTAAATAAAATGTTTTGTTGTCTGTTCAGAATTGGGATTTCTATTTAAAAAGAAAATTGTTATTCTCGATGTTTTTTCAGAATCATGCAGGTCTAATGTATGGATTGTAAATTCAAAGTACAACATGTCTATACTGATGTGTTGCATGCAAATGAAGATCAAACGGCGTGTCAGTTTAATCAGATATTGTCATGCATGTTAAATATGCTTACACGAAATCCCGCATCTTTCACGTTTGATGCGAAATACAGAAGTGTCACTGGAGTTTCATGTGGTTAATTCCTAGTTTTCTGAATGTTTTTTCCCTCCAGAACCTGACTGAATTCAACACGGCTCATAACAAACGCATTTCTACACTCACCATCGAGGAAGGAAACCTGGAGATCCAGAGACCCAAGAGGAAAAGGAGAAGCTCAAGAGTGTCTTTTAGTGAAGAAGAGGAGATCATAAACCCAGGTACACAAGCAACTTCCCATCGATCGTAAATATAAATGTAATTGTTATTCAAAAGAAAATGTAACTTGCATTCGCAGCCTGACTCGTATGAGTATTCAATGTGCGGCGGCTCGCTGACAGCAACGGTTGGCATTTTGAGGGAATCATTTTGTATCCAATCATTTGGCCGGATCCCATGATTTCCTCAGAAATAAAGCTGGCTACATCCAGTCTGAAAAGTGTTTTTTGCCTGTAATTATGGTGCAGTATATTTAGTAAAATCCTTAGACAAATGGTAATGCCATGTTAAACTTCTTTTGAAGACTTTATTCTCAAAATATTATGACTTTAATGTTTAAATTAAATGATTTTAATTTGTTTTTGAAATGACTTTCCAGTCTTTATATGCTCTCATATATTTCTCATTCTTCGTTCACGTTGGGACTTTTGTTAAAAAGCTCTTCTCTTTGCACAGAGGATGTGGACCCGTCTGTAGGACGCTTCAGAAACATGGTGCAGACAGCTGTCGTTCCCATGAAGGTACGATCACTGACCCTCGTGTTTTAGCTTGTCATCATTGTTTTTAATGGATTTGCGAACAGCCGTTCTCTCAATTCAATTAATGTTGTTTGTTGCATGGCTCACAATCTTGGCTATAATGGCTTCTAAAAGCCTTCCTCATAGTCTGACTCTTCATATCTGACTCCTAATGTAAAGACCTCGGATGCCTTTAGGCCTTTGTCTTTCTCGTGTAGTCCCTACTAGCCGTTTGTTGTAGTTCTTAAAAAGCGTTTTCTGTAAAAGAAAATATCTCCCTTTCCTTTGAGCGTCCTAACTTTGCAGATGTTGTTTATGCTCAAACAGCAACATTACACACTAGCTGAAGTTAACCATCGGTCTTCATTTCCTGTTTACACTTCTGGGTCTATACGACCCCAACAATTCATTGAGTAATTGTACAAAAAATATCAATTTTTAATCATACAAATAATTTATCATTGTGTTTGTTTACTTCTCATCTATTCATTAACCCTCGGATGGTCTTCAAAAAAAGTCACAATTTTGGTCTTCGGGGTCTATTGGACCCCAGACAATAAGATTTAATTTTGTAACAGAATATATATATTTTTTTTTATCTCTTTTATTTTATTTTACAAATGATAAGAGAACAGTTTTTAGAGTCTGTATGTATTCCTGTATATTGTATTCCTCCATATGTGTGTGTGTGTGTGTGTGTGTGCACGTGTGTGAGCATGATCATTTTGGATTGTGGAAGTTTTTTACATTTCATTTCTGTCTGTGTTCTGCGTTATTTCTGATTTTGATGATGAATTTTGTCTATTTTGAGTCCAATGATAAATATTTATTTATTTATTTATAGATATTTAAAAGATATCATAAATCCTCCAAAAACTGCACAAATGTTGAGTAAAAACATTAATAAACAGTAAAATAATATTTGTAAAAAAAATAAAAAACAACAACTTTTGTTCTGTTACAAAATTAAATGTTATTTTTTGGGATCCAATGGACCCCGAAGACCATGACTATTTTTGTCACGCCTACATAAAAACAGATAATATTCCATTTAAAAAATTTTTTTTTGTAGATCTAGAAAGTGTTGAGACCCATAGGAAGTTTCATACCATTTGGAGAAAGAGAACATTTTTTTAATTCAAGCAAAAGTCATTTGGGGTCCAGTAGACCCCGAAGACCATGCTGTGTTTTTGGAGACTTTTGTATCCATATACCACACAATTCCTCAACTAATAAAAAATTAGCTTGCATATGAAATATTATTGTTTTTTATGATACATTGCATTTATGCTCTAGTACTAGGCCTTCATTTCTGTGTAAAAAATTTCAGATTTATGCCGGATTTTTATTTATTTATTTATTTTTTTGACACATGAAGAAAATATATTTAGGTTTTTTTTTCACATTTTCCATTCATTTCAATGTGGGGTCAAATTGACCCCGAAGACCATAAGTGTAAACATTTATTTTACATACCTTCAGAACAACCGAATCAAGCCAAGGGAACCTTTTTTTTATTAAGTAAAAGTCGATTGGGGTCGTATACACCCCATGACCCGATTGAGGGTTAAAAAAAAGTGAAATCAGAATCTTTAAAGATTTATTTCTTCTGCACCACAGAAAAAGAAACTGGAAAGCCACAGCACGCTGGGATTGGACGAAAGCGTAGCACGTCGGTTACAGAACTTCCCCCTCAGTGCTGGTCTCTACGGCGACCTGCCGCCCACCAGTCACGAGCCAGGCGGACAAGGGGGCGGAGGTCAGGGAGGAGGGGCTTCTGCCATCATGGGCGGGATGCCTCTGCCCTTCCCCAACCCCGCGCCGGAGGTGGATCTCTCGCCCACCACAGTGCAGCCTCCCGCCATGTTGAACCCCACCCCTGCTCCTGGACCCTATTCGGCCGAGCCACTCAACGAGCCTCGCAAGAAAAAATATGCCAAGGAGGCGTGGCCTGGCAAAAAGCCCACCCCCTCCCTGCTGATTTAAACACAAACCACATATGACAGAACTTTATACTTGCAACATTTCTGAGGCATACTTCAAATACATAATTCTGTTAGCAGACTAAAGTTGACACTATAAACTCTGATTGCATCTGTCGGGGAGAGGGGATATCACAAAGAAATATTTATGATTCTGCCCCATAATTGAAAGGAAAACAAATCCATATTGCATAATTATGACAATTAAATACGTTTTTTTTTTTTTTGCATTATGACATTTTCTTCAGAATAACATTTGTCTTCCCAAATTCACATGAATTAAAATCATCATGTCTGAAATTATTATTATTTAATTATTTAATATAATTTATCAAATGGAAGTACAACAACTTTTTCACATTAGTGAGAAAATGTTCAATTATGGAAGGTCATAATGCAAAGAAATCTTGCTATTTACTTCATGCTAAATCTAATAACCCGGACATGTTTTTTTTTTTTTAAGGCTTCATGAGGTTTACCTGGCCAACATGTACAACACAACCAGTCAAAAGTTTGGAAAGATTACGTTTGCTTTATTTCTTTTGAAAGAAGTCTCTTACCAAGGCTGTATTTATTTGATCAAAAACACATCGAAAGTAGTAACAGTACTGTGAAATATAACAATTAAAACTACGTTTAGTGTATTTGATTAATTAAATTTAGCGTCTTGCTGAGCATTATACATTTCTTTCAAAATATTTCAATTTCTTCCAAACTCACTGGTTGATTGTTTCAGGCTTTCCTGAGATAAATGTCGACCGACTACCATAGGAAAGCTAGGACCGGATTCAGTAGATGTGGGTATCACTGCGTTTTAACAACAACATGTATTTATTACATACACTCTAAAAATGCTGGGTTGTTTTAACCCAACTTTGGGTCAAATATGGACGAACCCCAAACGTTGGGTTAAAAATGTAATTAAAAAATGTAACCCAATGGCTGGGTTTGTCCATATTAAAACAACCCAGCATTTTTAGTGTAGAATTTGTTTTAAAGCCCTCTGCAAACGTGCCACAGAATTTGCTACTGAACTTTCATGTAAGTTTGCTATTAAAAAGACGTTTTCATATTACGTATTTGAAGTACAAACCAAATGTTACATTAAAACGTTAAGCTATAGGAATTAAGTCCGTTTGAGCACAGTGTTTAATCTATTTCACTGATTGTATTACAACATTTTTTATGAAATGGTTCAGAATACTGAGGCTGTGTATTCAGTGGCTTATAAATACAAAAAGATGAAGACAGAACAATTTGTGTCTAAACGCTGGGAGTTGCCTTGTAATGTGAACTGTTTTGTTAAATGTTTTATATATATTTTTTATATCTGAATGTGATGGACTTGAGTGAAAAGCACAGATGAAAAAGACTAAACATGGAATTCCTGTTATTGTTGGATTATTTGTCTAATAAACAGTATTCCTTGCCCTTAGCATGATAGGTTTTTATTATTTTTTTTTATTATTGTTCAAGGGCCACTATGCAGAATTCAGAAACACTTTTTGTCTATGATTACCAAATAATAGTTATTCATTGGGCAATCAATCCTACTTTTTAATATCAAATTAGACCAATCATTTTTAAGTAACTGACTTAACCCTCTGATGGTCTTCGTTTAGGAGGCTTTCCCGGTCAGAAGTGATCAGACACCTAAAAGTAAAACTTCCTCCATCCCAGTAAAAACCAATACAATTTATTTTTGTTCTATAATATTTATTCTTTTTAATTTAGTATTTTGAGACAATTTGATTGAATTTATTAATATTTATGGTCTATTTTTGCCATGAATATATATATATATATATATATATATATATTTTTTTTTTCTATATATATTATTATTATTATTATTTTTTTTAGTTTAATATAGAGTCTAGGCCTTCAGAAAAAAAAAGAAGAAAATTAGCACCATCTGGTTACAGTATAGAGAAAAAGTGTAGAACCATAGTGTAACCACTAGATGGCATGTACAGCTCTCTGTGAATTCCCCAGCTGTTTATGAACACATTTACTTTTTGTGTGTGTGTGTGTGTATTTGAATATATATTCGAAACAATCTCAAAAACGATTTCTTATTAAGTTTTACATTTTTTATTTTTATTTTTTTTAGAAATAGTGATAAAAAGTTTAATTCCTAATGGGGTTATTTTTGACCGAAAACCAAAATTGTGACTAATTTTTTTTACAACCACTTAGCATGCTCAGAACAAACCAAAAAAAACCCCCAAAAAACAATTAATACATGAAAATCTAGAGGCTATAGCACCTTTAAGAAATTCACCAACATTGTACAGTGGGCATGGTGTAGAAAACTGTCCCAAGTCAAATGATTCTGTCTGTATATTCTGATTAGAAATATCTAATCTGATGGTTGATTTTTTTCCTGATTAATTGCAGACTTTAACAAGCTTCCAGGTATTAAATAGCCTACTTTTCAATTTTTGCAAATTATTGAGTAATTTGACACTGCATGATGACATTTATGAATAATGAGTGATGAGTTTTCCATTATTTGAAAACCACAAAAGCCTTCAATGTAGAGAGGATGAGTAATGAAGTTTGTCCACTAGAGGGTAATGTGTGACAAAGCTGTCTATGGGCTTCATATTCAACACACAAATGCATGTAGGCTACAGCCAATGCCAAGATGTGAGAAAGAGCTGTAATAGGGTCTTTTCGGGTATTTTGGCCAAATAAATCCATTCATTCAAACTGCAATTTTCCTGTAATATTAACAAACATAAAAAGAAAAAAAGAAGTAGAATATAATTAATGAACAAAAAAAGAGTCATATGCACTCTAGGTTCTTCATATGCAAAAATTTATTTTATTGCTAAATTCGCACACAATTTCTCTCATTTAGTTCCCGCGTTCAAGGTCTCAGCTGCCCTGTCATTGTGTTTTTGTGTCCCACTAGGGGTCTCGCGCGCTCCTCTATGACTGTGACTGTCTCACTGGCGCGGATAAATGGCACCTCATTAATCAAATGTGCATGAGTGCGCTCAGGTTGCCATGGCAATAATTATCAGAGCTGCCTAATTAACTTTCTCAATTGCTTAATGATATACGACCCTATGAACTCCCCTCTGTTTCTTTCCTCTCTATAATTCGTGCTGGGTTTTTTTTTTTCCTCTTCATTTTTTTCCCTTTCCATTCTCGCTGTTAACCCGTGACCACCATTTTATGAGAATAAAACAGGAACAGATTGCCAGTAACACTGATGTTAAAGCTGAGTCCACTTTCAGCTCTGACTTTAGGTATATCTCTCACTACTGAGACAACAGGTGGGAGAAATACTGCTGTAGGCTACTGTTAAATTACATATTGTGTGATGGAGAAATCCCGCTAATGTGGTTTTGGTACAGATATATGCATCATGTAGCCTACATCTGTTGATTTACAGAAAATAATAGTAATTTAAACTTGTCCCTCGGTGTGTAGATCATGAAAGAAAAATGTAATGTGATGGAATATTTAAAAGAGTCACTACAAGAACTTGTTACTTGTCTAAGTGTGGACTACTTTGCATGAAGAAACTGGTTATTATGGGACACATGCTTCATTCACGTTATTCGGCTGTAAAATTAAGAAATAAAAAATAAAAAAAATAAATAATTCACCCCAAAATAAAAAAAATCTGTCATCATTTAACCACCCGCATCACGTTGCTCCAAACCTGTGTGTACATTTCTTTGTCTTGAAGAATGTTTTTAATCAACAGTTGTGGGGCACCACTATGGGAGATATGGTGCCCCACAACTGTTAGGTTAGAAACATTCTTCAAAATTTCTTCCTTTGTGTTCAGCAAGACAAAGAAATGTACATGTTTGGAGCAACGTTATGCGGGGGGTGGTTAAATGTTATTTTTGGGTGAACTATCCCTTTAAAAGTTTGATTCTCAATGATTAGGCAATAGAGTTGTAATAGAGTTCTAATACGATAGAATTCAACCAATTACCAATACCAATTACACTTTTTATGATTAAACAAATTAGCTTGGCTCTATGCACATCACGATCGCTTCCGGGTTTGTCTCTGCACGCGCACGCGCAGTTACATCCGGTGCTGCGGTGTCAATTTCAAATACACTCGCTGTTTACAGAAACTTTCTGCGGTGAACGTGAACACTGTGAGGCAGTTAGCGGTCACACATTAGAGTAAAAAAGAAAAGGGCTTTAGATTATATATTTCGTGCTACATCAACAACGTTGAGGGTGAGTATTCGAGTGTTCTCTCATTTCGTGCGAAATCCGACTAGCGAATCAGTTTCTAAAATCGTTATCTCCATTTCTGAGAAAATTAATTTTATAAATTAAAGTTTAAATAAATTAAAGTTTTGCCGCTATATACTTTGCCTGCAGAACGCGCTAGCGGAAGTAAAGAAGCTGGCTGAGATTCTATCGGACATACGTCAGCAGGGTTGCATAGAGCGTGAACTGGGAAACCCTGCAAACCAGTGAGTGTCAACTTTATTGTCAATTCTACTACAATACAGAGCATTAAATACCATTTTCCTCAGTTCCGTGGTGTAAAAACCAACATAAAACAAGTATTAAAATAAATAAGATACAACATGTACAATAAAATCATCTTGGCACATGATAGGCTAATGTAAATATGTTTACAATGTAGTGCAAACAGTGTGCAAAAGAGAGAGCAGCAGTTTTAAAAGTGTCTTTAGGTCTCTGTATGTGTATGTGTGTGTGTTAGGGGGTGGGAAATACTGTAAACTCTATTACTGTATAGTTGCTTGCTTTAAAACAATCAATTGTATAAGTGCTATATACATAAACATAACTTGATTGCAGAGCTCGTGTAAATATCCACATGATCAGATGCTTTCTTAACTGCCGTTTTCTCACAGTCACTTTTGTTGTTTATTGTGTTATTGAGTGGAACGCTCGCAAAACTATATTCACATATTAACTAATCGACGCTCCAATCAGAGTGTGAAGCGTAATTATATGAAATAGATTGTTTAAATTCATACGAATTAGCCACCAGTTTGGCGAAATGTATGTTGCGTTAAAAATAGGTGGGCAGAGAAAAGATACGCTGTCAATTTAATTAATAGTTTCCAGATATTATTTTAATTATTGCATTGACATTCACTACTGCAACAATATCAAATCAAATTATTTTAATTTGCAAATAAGTGACTCTAAAATCTAAAACACCCAGTAATGTGTAATTTATTTGCATCTCCTTTCGAACACAACATTCAAATTACTAGACAAAAAATTGTATCCTGAGAAAAGTGGATTTTGAGGGGATTTTGAAAATAAGTAAGTTATATAGTTGAAAACTGTGCTATGCAAAGTAGTTGACTTACTGCATTGCTCTGATTGGTTGTATGTCTACCAACTATCCAATTGAATGCAGAGGTTTGTTTCTTGGTTCGCTTCTTAATCTAAGCCCCGTGGAGCAGTTTCAGACTCATATTCTCATTAGAATATTAGTATGAATAAGTCAGACTAGTGGTTGTGTCCACACAGTGCAAAGACACATTTATATGCAAACCATTTAAAAAAAGTTAATTTTGCATCCGATTATCCCTTTAACACACTTGAGTTTTTAGATTAAAAAAAAAACAAAACTTAATTTTAGATTAAAGTATATAGCACTCCTTACAAGGGGATCACAATATTTTGGGTTCATCAAAAGTTTGAAAAGTCCTGTTTTGGACTAAATCAGTTGCAACGTTGATTCAGGTTAAAAAAACTTTGAAATATTTCTACTTTTGTAACAGATTTCACACACCTGCCATCCAAATGATCGTTTGTGGTAGTCGGCATTGTTCCAACATTGAAACAACCCTTTAAGTAGTCCTTGTGCGATCAGTGATATCTGGAATCTCGACGAATCTCTGTAAGTATGTGTGTATGAGTGATGAGCGCCCGGGGCTGCAGGTGACCTCGCGTGACAGGTTGAGTGAAGGGGCCGGTGAGGGCCTGTCATCTCCTGTTCACTCACTCAGTGTCTGAAGCAGCCAGGCAGAACTCGGCACAACACCTGCTGACACTCACGCTGGCCCCGTGCCTTCATGTCATACACACTACCGTCAGCATGCACTCGTAAGGTCACACGCCTCTTATATATGAGCCCGCTGCCATCATGTCACACACAGTATCTCTCTGAACATCTTCTCAGAACTCCAACTAACTATAATGTTCGTTTACATAAATTTATTTAATTTTATTTTTATTATTATGATTTTTTTTTTATTCTAAACCGTTTTAATTATTCTGATTTCTTTTGATTATTTTAATTTCTTCCATGTAAAGCACTTTGAATTGCCACTGTATATGAAATGTGCTATAGAAATAAGCTAAAGATTTAAAAAGGGGAACGCTGGCACTTTCCACAAACGGTTATAAATGGGAAAGAATAATGGTCAGTGAAAAACATTGAATTAGCTTTTTGGAGGTTTTAT